TGCTGCAAAGCTTTTAAAAGTGGGTTAATTATTCAACAAAGCAGTTCGAAACTTTATTTCGCATCTGGCGATCAGATCTAAAATAAACGCAATGCCGTCACTTCTCGTTCCTCGCAAATCCATTTCACTTCAGACTTTACAATTTAAAGATTGCCTCCTCGACCATTTTAAGGGTTGATCGCGCATTTTTTTAAGTGTACCGACCATAAAGCGGGGCGCCAGCCGTTTGTGCTGTAAACACATAAAGGAGATCTAATTTCAATAGCTCCAAAATGAACTAATTCAAGGCGCAGGCTTAATTTTGTAAGGTCTTCCACACGAACGACTTCCAAGGGGCTTACATTCGCATCCCCCTGCCCAAAAATTTATTTCGCATTTATTTATAGTGGTAGGAACACGCGCAATTCCATTTTAAATAACGCAATTAACGCTAAACCACTTCCTTAAGTGAAATCGTACATCTTAGCGTCTATTATTATTCTTCCCTTTTCGCCTTTACCTTCGCCGTTAGAATTAACATTTAATCCCCGCAGTGTTTCATTATTCTTTGAAGAGGATGAGTTAGCCGAGGGAAACTTTCAGAACTCGCTCGGTTTTACAACTTGAGTAACACGTGAGCGTGCCTGAATGTGGTTATTGTACTTTATTTTCGCAGTTCCTTAATAAAGTTACCCCTGACATTTGCTCGTTGTTAGGCGAAAATGAGGGCGTTCGAGAGGAAAATATTCGTGACACCTCGACCGAAGGGCGGGGGGCATTTTAGGGACGGCGCACAATTAAAAATGTTCACCCGATCGCATTCTCAAGACATGGATTAGTGGACGAAACGTTGATTAAATAAAGTCGAAACAACAGGCTTTCGAATGCCATTAAGGAGACAACGCCAAAAGTGCGCTCCCGCGGGAGGGAGTTCGCAACTTTAATTGTTGAAGTTGTTCTTTGCTCGTCTGCTACATTAGTCTAGCGTTTCAGCGTTGGGCACGAGATGAATACGAAACCTGAGAGAAAGAATCTTTCTTAATTTATTACTCCATCTAATCATAGAAATTCGATGGTAAAACTGAAATTAAACACTTCTCTAAAAAAAATAGAACAGGTACCTTGTCCTAAATGTCAAAAGGAATAGATCGGAAACGGAATAATGAGTGAGTCCTTTTACAGCAAATTGAAAAAGCTGGAATCAACGTAAGCCTCCCACAGAAATAAAAATTAATTTACCATTTATGTTGAAATTGCGAAGAAAAAGGGCACGTTACCATGAAATGTAAAAATAAAAAATTCTAAAATTTTGTATGGGTAAAGTTCGTAAATTTCTGGATTCATCAGATTACAGTTTCCTAGCGGATGACAGAAACTGGAATAAAAATTCTGAAACATTCTGAAATGTTGTATAGGTAAATATCGTAAAATCCAGGAGCCACCCTATAGTTTCCTAGACTGGAATAAAAATAAAAAATTCTAAAATGTTGTATGGGTAAAAATCGTAAATTCCAGGAGTCACCTTAGAATTTCCAAGAGGATAGCAGAAACTGGAATAAAAATGAAAAATTCTAAAATTTGGATGTCATAAATTCCAAGGTCCCTCCACAGTTTGCTAGAGGATTACAGAAACTGGAACAAAAATGAAAAATTTTGAAATTTTGTATGGGTAAAGATCGTAAATTTCTGGAATCAGACTACAGTTTCCTAGCGGATTACAGAAACTGGAATAAAAATAAAAAATTTTGAAATGTATGGGTTTTTTGATCCAAAAACTCTTGAAGGTACAAATTAGTCCTGAATTCAAAACAACATTTTTCGAGTTTTGGGGAGATTTAATTTGATTCGGCGTTTGTCATTATTAAGAAAGCCCAAAAATCGTATTCTGCAAAATTAAGATTCGAATTTTAACGAAAAAACATTTTTTGACCTAAAAATCCTTGGAAGAAATTAATCCTAGATTCAAAACAACAAATTTCGAGTTTTGCCAAGGTTCCATTTGATTCGGCGTTCTTCATTGTTAAGAAATCCCAAAAAACACATTCTGCAAAATGAAAATTCGAATTTCAATGGAAGAACGTTTTTTGGTTCAAAAATCCATGAAGGTACAAATTGGTCCTAAATTCGAAGTAAAACATTTTCAAGTTTCGCGGAGGTTCGATTTGATTCGGCGTTTTTCATTGTTAAGAAATCCCCAAAATCGCATTCTGCAAAATAAAAATTCGAATTTCCACGGAAACATTTTTTGAGTCAAAAATCCTTGAAGGTACAAATTAGCCCTAAATTTGAAACAAAGAATTTTCGAGTTTCACGAAGGTTCCATCTGATTCGGCGTTTTTCATTGTTAAGGACACCCAAAACTTGCAGTATGTAAAATGAGAATTCGAATTTCAATGGAAAAACGTTTTTTGACCCAAAAATCCTTGAAGGTACAAATTAGTCCTAAATTTGAAACAAAGAATTTTCGAGTTTCATGGAGGTTCCATTTGATTCGGCGTTTTTCATTGATAAGAAAGAGCAATAATCGCATTCGGCAAAAAGAAAATACGCATTTCAATGGAAACTTTTTTGACCCAAAAAACCTTGAAGGTACAAGTTAGCCCTAAATCCTAAACAAAAATGTGTTGGTTTTCGCGGAGCTTCCATTTTATTCGGCGTTTTTCATTGTTAAGAAACCCAAAAATCGCATTCTGCAAAACGAAAATTCTAATTTCAATGATAAAAAGTTTTTTGATCCAAAAATTCTTGAAAGTACAAATTAGTCCTAAATTCGAAACAAGGAATTTTCGAGTTTCGCGGAGATTCCATGTGATTCAACGTTTTTCATTGTTAAGAAAGCTCGCAACTCGCATTCTGCAAAATCAAAATTCGAATTTCAAGGAAAAACGTTTTTTGATCCAAAAATTCTTCAAGGTATAAATTAGTCCTCAATTGGGAACACAAATTTTTCAAGTTTTGCGGAGATTGAATTTGATTCGGGTTTTTTTATTGTTAAGAAAGCCCAAAAATCGCATTCGGTAAAATTAAGATTCGAATTTTAACGAAAAAACATTTTTTGACCCAAAAATCCTTAACGGAAGAAATTAATCTTAAACTCGAAACAAAAAAAATCGAGTTCGTCGAGGTTCCATTTGATTCGACGTTTTTCATTGTTAAGAAAGCCCAAAAATCGCATTCTGCACAATGAAAATTCGAATTTCAATGGAAGAACGTTTTTTGATCCAAAAATTCAAGGTGCAAATTAGTCCTCAATTGGGAACACAAATTTCTCGAGTTTCGCAGAGGTCCATTTGATTCGGCGTTTTTCATTGGTAAAAAAAGCTCAAAAATCGCATTCTGCAAAATGAAAATTCGAATTTCAATGGAAGAACGTTTTTTGATCCAAAAATTCTTGAAGATACAAATTAGTCCTAAATTCAAAACAAAGGTTTTTCGAGTTTCGCGGAGGTTCTATTTGATTCGGCGTTATTCATTGTTAAGAAAGCCCAAAAATCGCATTCTGCAATATGAAAATTCGAATTTTAATGGAAAAACGTTTTTTAGTCCAAAATTTCTTGATGGTACAAAATCGTAAGTGCGAAACAAAAACTTTGCGAGTTTCGCGGAGGTTCCATTTGATTCGCCGTTTTTCATTGTTACGAAATCCCAAAAATCGAATTCTCCAAACAGAAAATTCGAACTTCAATGGAAACTTTATTGACCCACAAATCCTTGAAAATTAGTCCTAAATTTGAGACAAAGAATTTTCGAGTTTCACGAAGGTTCCATGTGATTCGACGTTTTTCATTGTTAAAGCGCAATAATCGCATTCGGAAAAAAGAACATATAAATGTCAATGGAAACTTTTTTGACCCAAAAAACCTTGAAGGTACAAGTTAGCCCTAAATTTAAAACAAAAATTTGTTGATTTTCGCGGAGCTTCAATTTTATTCGGCATTTGTCATTGTTAAGAAACCCAAATTCGGAGTTCTTGATTGTTAAGAAAGCGCAATAATCACATTCGGCAAACAGAAAATTCGAATTTCAATGGAAGAACGTTTTTTGATCCAAACATTCTTCAAGGTGCAAATTAGTCCTCATTTGGGAACACAAATTTCTCGAGTTTCGCAGAGGTTCTATTTGATTCGGCGTTTTTCATTGATAAAAAAGCTCAAAAATCGCATTTTGCACAATTAAGATCGAATTTTAACGAAAAATCATTTTTTGACCAAAAAATCCTTGAAGGTGCAAATTAGTCTTAAATTCGAAACAAGGAATTTTCGAGTTTCGCGGAGGTCCATTTGATTCGGTGTTTTTCATTGTTAAGAAAGCCCAAAAATCGCATTCTGCAAAATTTAGATCGAATTTTAACGAAAAAACATTTTTTTACCCAAAAATCCTTGAAGGTACAAATTAGCCCTAAATTCGAAACTAAGAATTTTCGAGTATCGCGGAGGTTCCATTAGATTCGGAGTTTTTGATTGTTAAGAAAGCGCAATAATCACATTCGTCAAAAAGAAAATTCGAATTTCAATGGAAGAACGTTTTTTGATCCAAAAATTCTTGAAGATTACTCCTAAATTCAAAACAAAGGTTTTTCGAGTTTCGCGGAGGTTCTATTTGATTCGGCGTTTTTCATTGTTAAGAAAGTCCAAAAATCGCATTCTGCAATATGAAAATTCGAATTTTAATGGAAAAACGTTTTTTAGTCCAAAATTTCTTGATGGTACAAAATAGTAAGTGCGAAACAAAAACTTTTCGAGTTTCACGGAGGTTCCATTTGATTCGGCGGAGCTGTCTTCAAAATGAAAATTCGAATTTCAATGGAAGAACGTTTTTTGATTCAAAAATCCATGAAGGTACAAATTGGTCCTAATTTTGAAATAGAAAAGTGGATCTGATCTGATGGAGGAATGGAGGGAGGATGCGTGCAAGAGGAAAAAAACACGCTGAAGAAGAAGGAGACGGAAGGTAAAATATTCTCGATAACGTCCACTTGTTATACAGGGTGTTTACAAGGAGAGGAATCAAATCCCACTTACCAATTGTCGTAATCACGATAATAGAGTAAAACAGTGCACCTTCGAAGGTCCACTGGGTTTCGTTCTGTTTCTCATTGCCGTCCCATCCGTTCTTGGTCATCGCGGTGAAGATCGCCGCTTCGAAATCCCGAAGGTACGCCTTCGTCCTATTCGTGAACAGCTCCTTTTCCAGGTAAACAACGTCATACTTGGTCAAGTTCCAAATGTGGTTCGTGATGTTCTGGCGGATGATGCTGATGTTGTTCTTCACCTGCACGCGCGCGCACCCCCCCATGAGCAAGGCTGCGTAGTTTTTCGCCTCAGCTTACCTGAATCTCGTGTTCCTTCTCCAAGGACTCGAACATCTTAGCACCTCCAAGACAGTACGCGACCACGACCGTTATGAGGGTGATGTGCGAAATTAAAAACGTGATCGTCTTCCACGCGTAGCAAACGATGCGATTGCAGGTGCTCGGAGGTAGCTGTTCCAGGCCCTCCGGATCGTAGTAGCCGGACATTGTTTTTTCGCGGGCGTCGCCGACGTAAACGCCGCAATAAACGTAGGAAAGTGTCTGGCCGACATTCTTGCCCGAAGTGAGGTATTTTTAAACTGTGGAAGTAGGGACAGACGTTTTGTGTATTCCAAAATTAAACTCCTCATTTACGTTCGGGCAGGAAAATAATAATGCAACGTTACGCTCAATTTTCTTAAAATGAAACTGTCTACGAAAACATTTGCCTTAATTTCCTGAAAATGACGTCACTACCTCCTTAATTCCTTAATGCGACTATGTCATAATAAAGAAATACTTAAGGAGAGAGAAGGATAAGAAGAAGAAGAAGGAAAAGTTGATGAACCAAGCCTTAGGTTTAAACTTGAAATTAAAACTATCAGCTTATTGAAAGGTTCAAATACTCAAGGTCTCAAAACACAAAAGCCAGAAAACTCAAAAAATAAAACGCTCACAGACCTAATAACGCAAGATCCATAAGATCCTCGAAGGGTCAAAAATGTAAGGACTCAAAGTTTAAAAAAATTAAAGGCTCGAAGATACAGAGATCCTCGAAAAGTCAAAGAAGGACTCTGGGACTCAAGGGTCCGGAGACTCACATACTCAAATCTGAAAGCTAAAAAATCAAAGACTAGAAAACTCATAGGCTCAACATCTCACAAATCCAAAGGCCCAAATTTAAAAACTTGAAGTAAGCAAAGATTCAAAGTCACGAGGATTTAAAAACACCATAAACCTCAAACACTCTAAGGGTAGTTCAAGGACCCTCAAGGTAAAAGGCTCAAAACACACACAAAGATTCAGACACCAAAAGACGCTGGATCAATGTCCCAAAAAGTCATACATTTAAAGAAAGATTTGAAACTGTGAAGACTCAAAAATTCAAGAACACAAACGCTCAACGACAAAAGGTCGCGGAGTAAAATTCTCAAAGATCGAATTATAGAAATACCCAACGCACTAAACCCGAAGCACAAAATTCGAAAGGACTAAAAAGTTCAAAAACCCAGTATGTAAGATTCAAATGCTCAAAACAGGAAAGCTTTCAAGAATTTCAAGAATATACGATGGGTCAACGGTTGGAAGACGTAAAAGCGCAAGGATAGTCCAAAGACTCCAGAAAACAAAAGATCAAAGCTTAAGAGCCTAAAACCTCTAAGCAGCGAAGATCCAAAAACTCAATAACCTAAACCCAAACATTAGAAAGGTTAAAGACGTAAAGGCCTTAAGTTTCAAAAAATACTCCCGAAGCCTTAAAAACTAAAAGCTGCAAAGGATCAGACACTGAGCGGCTCGACAACTCAAAAGGTTAAGGGGCACACTAAAAAACACAAAATCGCTCGGATGTTGAAAGTCTCAAATATGTAAAGACCCAAAAGCGCAAAAACTCAAAAAGTAAAGGATCACAAGACCCACAAAAATTAAGATGAACAAAAGCTCAAAGATAATTCCAAACATCTCAAAAATGTCAATACTAGCGACACAAAGACACCGCAAAAGCTGAAATAAACAAAGGCTCAAAAATTCTAAGCCTAGAAAATACAAAAAAAAACGTAAAAAAACCAAATACGGTACTCAATGACTCAAGAGCACATTAACTCGAAGAATAAAAAATTCGATCGGTCAGGAACTCAAATCTCAGAAACTCAAAAAACTCACAGGCCCAAAGGGTTCAAAATCCACGTAGGTTCAAGGGATCAACCTCAAAGACTGACTCCACAACTCAAAGATACAAGAGTCAGTATCAGAGATTCAAAAAGGTAAGAGGCACAAAAGCTCAAAATCAAATACTGTGAGGCACAAAATTTAAGAGTCAAGTTATAAAAGATCTCAGACTCAAAATTTAAAAGATCAAAAGCGCAATGATTTGAAAAGTCGAGACTAGAACGCTTAACGTCGCACAAACTAAAAGACAGGAGGACAAAGGTTCAAAAACCCAAACTGAATGACTCAAAAGTGTAAAATGTCGCAAAGATCCAAAAACTTAGACCTGAAGGGTCAAAGACCTAACGACCCCAAGTACTAAAACCTTAATGACTCGAAAACGAGACTCAAAATGGGAAACAAAGATTCTAGGACCCGAATCTTCAGATCCTCAAAGCTGAAATATACCAAGGCTCAAAAACTGGGAGGGAAATTCAAAGACGCAAACGTAAATACTAGAAGAAGCGAAAAACCAAAGGTTCCGGAACTCAAAGAGTCAAAGACTCAAAAGGTAAACAGGCCAAAAGTTCAAAAATTGAAAAATAGAAAAAATCAACGCGCTGGAAGCGCAGAAAGAAAGGTTATAGTATCTAAGACTAAAATGATAAAAGCAAGAAAACATCTAAACCTCTCAAGGACACTCGATGCCTCAACAGATTAAGGAAGTAAAAGTGCAGTCAAGGACACCAAGACTCTGAAAACAAAAGATCAAAGCTTAAGGACACCTCTAAGCAGCAAAGATCCAAAAAATCACGGACCCAATAACTTAAACTTTCGAAAAAGACGCAATGGCTTAAAGTTTCAAAGACTCAAAGAGCCGAAGATTCAAAAAACGAGGGGTCGAATACTCGAGCAATCAGAAGATCTAAGACTCAACACACAAAAAGGATCAAAAACTAAAAGGCTTAAACACCCAAGGCTTCAACAAGATGACTCAAAAATGTTATAACACACATGATAAAACACTGAACAGCAAAAGGTCTCGAAGTTCGGAGACCCAAAGACGTTCAGACTCAAAAACTCATAAAAACTGAAAGAAGAATCAAAAACCTACACTCGAAATCTCAAAAATGCAATTACTAGAGACATGAGCATTCGAAAACTTGAAAACACCTCCAAAGCTGAAAAAATCAAAAACTCAAACATTGAAAACTTTCAAAATACAAAGACTCGATATATTGAGAACGCAAAAATTTAAAAAGTCAACTGATTAAAAGCTGAAAGGCTCAAATACACCTACTCTATGACTCAAAAGCTCACATAAACTCAAAGAATAAAATATTGGATGAGAACACTGAGATTCATTCAACTCAAATGTTCAAAACCAGGTGTCAAAGACTCAAAACTCGGAAGGCATATATATCTACGACGCACCGTTCTCGAGATATTACGGTTTGAAGTTTAGAAAAAAAATTCTGACAGCGCCAATCGATGGCGCTGGTCGAGACCTTTCCAATGAGGGGTCGGAACTCAAAAGCTCAAAGTAAAAACCGCAAAGAGATGTACTCGAAGCTCGAAAGCGCAAAAACTCAAAAAATCCGACTTAAAGACTCGGAGGGTCAACCTCAAAGACTTAAAGACCCAGTATCAAAGATTCAAAAATTAAGACTCAAGCTATAAGAGATCCAAGGCTCAAAATTTAAAAGATCGAAAGTTCAAAGATTCAAAGTCTTGAGGATCTAAACATTCAAATACTCAAAAACTAGAATGCTCAGATTCACAAACTAAAAGACACCAAGACATAAAAGTACAACAATTCAAAACCAAAAACCAGGCTCAATGACTAAAAAGATTATAAACTCAAAATGTACAGAAAATTGAAGCATGAAAGGTTCAAATACTCAGTCTCAAAACACAAAAGACAAAAATCTCAAAAAAACCAAACGCTCACGCAAAGTCGCAAACATCAAAAAACTTAGACTCCAAGAGTCTTAACGACTACAAGTACCAAAACCTTTAAGACTCGAAAACGAAACCCAAAAACTCAAGCAAAAGCTCTAGGACTCAAGGACCCGAATCGTTAAATACTCAAAGCAGAAATGGGCAAAGACTTAAAAACCTTAGACTCAAAAAATCAAGGATCCTAAAAATCATAAAAACTCAAAAGACAAAAGTTCAAAAATCCAGAAACCTAGACTCGAAATCTCAAGAGTCCCATTACTATAGACACGCAAAGATTCAAAAAAATGCTAAAATAGGAACGCTTCTAAAGGTTCAGGTGCTGGTAGAGGAAGAGGACCACATTCTGATATGGGTAAAATGGTGAGAAATCCGTTTTACAGAGGATAAGGGATACACACTCCAATAAAAAATGCAGCTCCTACTATGACATGTGGCGGCACAGTTAAAACATATGGTAAAAGACGAACGCCACTGCAAAGCGAAATTGTATAAGTTTAAGAGTTAAAGAATGAGTGGGGAATCCTAGCCTATCCGAAGCTAAGCGGAGAAGGGTGGTATGGAATTCCCCCCAACCACACCCAGATACATTCCAGGAAAAAAGTATTCCGTGTTGGTTTCTGACGTAACTTGAATTATTGTTTGTTGTTAAGTGTTTATTACGATTCTGAGTATTTAACTTGCTCGTCGTGTCAAACGTTAATTTTACTCTCGCAGTTTATGTGCAGTGTTGTTCATACCCGCTCTCTCTCTTTTTTTTAGTTTTTGGGTTTTATTTGATTGCAGATTATATTGGCAGAGAGCACCCTTCTGAGCTCAGAAAGACTGTGACTACGTCTGAAAGTTAGTTTGTTAAACTATCATACACGCCTAAACTAGCCTTTGGTGTGACATTTATCTCAACTTCTGGCTTTGGCTGACCTTGACCTCTGGATCTGATCTTTGAAGAACTACTGGTCTGTAACCCAGCCCCGATATCGTTCACGCATGATGCCGGAAGTTGCCCCCATTTTAGCTTCGGAAGGAATCCCTCGGCCATCTTGAGATACTAACGGAGGTTTGCCTCTTGGTGGCGTCTGAGTCCTTCTTGAGGAAAATCTGTCTAATACAAATTAACCGAAATCACAAATTAAAGCGGAACGGAAGATAACGACACTATTTTTCTGTTTAGATTTAAAGAACGCATTATTGTTAACCCACTCAGATAACGCAAATCAGTAAACTTTGACTTGTTGATAGTGCCAGTGAATAATTTCGTAGTGCGCGCTGTCCCACCAAGGAAATCATGACTAAGGACCCATTCGACTATGGCGACGTGATCCGCGTTTGGTTGTGAAGGAAATTACTGCCATGACTCTGTTACTGAAGGTATTACTAGTAATTGGAGCAGGAACTGTACGATCCAGAGAGTGCAATTACAAACCCGAAGACACAATCTCATGTAAAAACATTAGTTCCCTAACGCAACTTAGGGAAGCAGTTCAAGACTGCGTTACCTTCGAGTTGGTCGAGATGGAAAACTTTGGCACCTTGGAGATCGAGAGTAGCAAGATTGATTTTTTGGGCCCAAATGCCCTCCAAGGTTTCCAGCATGTGAGGACCTTAAGATTTCTGTTTAGTAACATAACGGGCATCTCTTACAACAGTTTTAGACATTCGAGCGGTTTGGAAGAACTCCAAATTTCCTCGAGTACATTGGAAAACGTTGAGGAAGGTGCGTTTGAAGAAATGGGCGACTTGGTGAGGTTTCGGATAATTGATACGGAAGTGAAGCGACTGCCGAAGGAGTGGTTAACTTACATGCCGGCTCTCAAAGAGGTATGCTTGAACAGTACCAACCTCAAGGAAATTGAGGAGGGTGCCTTTGATACCGCAACAGGTCTCCTACATGTCGCCTTGTCTAGAAATAGGCTGACCAATTTGCCAAAGAATCTACTTGTAAAGTCACCCAGCCTTGAAGCCGTGTGGCTCGATTACAATTCCTTGGAGCACTTACACGAGGACGCTTTCGATGGATTGACAAAGGTCAAAATCCTCCACCTGGAGAACAACTGTTTGGAAAACCTTCCTCCTCGAGTCTTTGGACACTTGAGCTCCCTCTACGAGCTGCACCTACAAAATAACGACCTAGAAGAGCTGACCGAGGGAGTTTTCTCCGAGTTGAAGACCCTCAAGTCTCTTAATCTCTCGAGCAACTACTTGACCGAGTTACCGAACGTTCTCTTCGAGAACTTGAAGATGCTCGAGTGGATCGATCTAACCGAAAACCATCTCAGAAGCTTAGACGCGGGTTTATTAAAAAACCTGTCAAATCTCAAGTACATCGGTTTGGCCCGCAATCAGCTGTCCTCAATACCCGACGGCCTCCTCGGCAACAAACCCGGCCTTTCCGTTCTGGAGTTCATGTCGAATAAAATTGAAAACATCACGCTCGCAACTCTCAAGGGGTTAAGCCAGCTCAGGGTGCTCAGGTTGGACTCGAACAAGGTGAAGAAGCTCTCAGCCTCCTCGTTTAAAGACACGAAAGCCCTCGTCCACTTGAACCTCAACCGAAACAAGATTAAGACGCTCCCTTCGACGATCTTCTCCCGAACGGTCGCCTTGGAAACGTTAAGCTTGGAGGACAACAAGCTAACCACGCTAGAGGCGGGGATCTTCGACAAGCTGGCCAATTTGAGCCGGCTGGAGTTGGGCAGAAACCGAATCAAGACCATCGAGCCGCACACTTTCAAGAATTTAGGAAAGCTCACCTCCTTAGGCGTTACCAGTAACAAGCTGCGAAACCTCACCGCGAAGATGTTCGACGGATTAACCTCCCTCGTCCAATTCTCCATGGCCCGGAACGAGATCGACAGCATCGACTGCGAAACCTTCAAAGACCTCTCGCCTTTACACTTTTTGCGTTTGGGGGACATCGATTTGACCCACTTTGAGCCCGGCTGCTTCTCGCCCTTAACAAACCTTCGCAGTTTCACGGCGAAGAGGTCAAAGCTGAAGTACTTGAAGAAAGGTAATTTTCTCGGCCTGTCCCGGTTGAGATCCCTGTATTTGACGCAGAACCAAATCAAGGAGGTGGAGGAGTGGACGTTTGAGGGCCTCTCGAGCTTGCAAACGCTCTCCCTATCCCGAAACCGCCTAGTGAGCCTCAAAGCTGAGATGTTTCTGGGCTTAAGCAGACTTGATATGCTAATTCTGGACGATAATAGAATTACGACCGTCGAGCCCTTTGCGTCACTGGCAACGTTGCGATTCCTCTACCTAAACTCAAATCGGCTGTTCAAGCTGAAAGGCGACGAGTTCGCTAAACTGGCCGGCTTGAGGATCTTAGAACTGGGGGACAACGATCTCAGAAGCTTACCGTCGGACATCTTCCGGTCCGTGGAGTCACTAACAGCCTTAAACCTCAAAGGAAACAAACTGAGGATACTCCAGAAGGGTTCAATTCCGACGATCTCCCAATTGAGATACCTCAACCTGGAAGGGAATAACATCACCGAGATCCGACCGGGCACGTTCGACAACTTGAGCTCGCTCCAGGAGCTGAATTTGGCAAATAACACCTTGACGAACATCACCTTGGAGACGTTCCGGGGACTTATCAACATGAGACTGCTAGACCTCGAGCACAACGCCGTCATTTATCTAGATCTGGCTGCTTTGGGGAATCTTACCGGTTTGAAAGAGGTGCGTTTGGGTGGAAATACGGTGGATCCAAAAGTGGTAGAGACTATAAGTAAAAAATACACGAAGACTCACAAGTTTCATTTTGGTGCAACCGTCGTGTTGTAAATTGTGTGCAAAAGAATTCGCGATGGTGGAATAATTAATAACACAGGTCCCACAGTGGTTCCTTGCGGCACTCCACTCTCAATAAACTGTCATTCGAAAACTTTGTTTTTATAACCCTTCATTTATCAGTTACGTCGATTATTATCTAATAAAACGCTACCAAGTCCACTGAGGGGGGGGGGGGGGGTGATATGAAGAAATGGATGGACGCGAGGAAAAATTAGGTGGGAGCGTGGGACTTGTCTGTAGAAAAAGCGCGGAGGTGCAAAAAAGATATAAAGGAGAAGGGGAGGGGGGGGGAGATAAAAATCACACAGGTCCCCATACATTCTCTTCTCGCTCTCGCCATCACGACTGCGCGTATACATGGCGTCTTTAGTCTTCTTTCACAGACATAAGTCATAAGGTCATAACTAAGACGTAGAGGAAATGCCCTCGAAGGAAGCGTACATATGACCTTACGTGGAGCATTTACCAAAGCGGGAGAGGGGTAAGGAAGGTTTGAAGGATGCATGAAGAAAGCGTGTAGAAAATCTAGTGATTTGAAAAAATGCGGAAACCTGAGACGGGAGTGTGAAGAGCAAGAGAGGTAGAGGTGAGTAAAAGAAGCACGAGCAAAGGCTACCAGAGTACTGAAGAATGAGTGAAAATCGCAAAGAACGCTTGGTGAGCAGTAAAGAAGGCGTGAGGGAGATGTAGAGTAAGAAATGGCAAAGCGAAATGATGAAGGAAAGAGGAAAACGTCCATAGGGCGTGAACGAGACTTCAAGGTGTGAAAAGAGGGGGGGGGGGGATTGAGGAAGAGTGGATGAACGATGAAGTAATGGTGTAAGAAAGGTGGAGTGACAGAGGCCTAAAGAAGCCACGAAGAAGAAGGGGATGTAAAACAATGCGAAGGAAGTTTGATTAAGGGGGGAGGGGGGGGGGGGGAAAGCAAATAAACGACGTGAAGAAGTTGTACAGAAGGCATGCCAGCCAGCTGTGGGTGAAAAAGTGAACGAAAGGACACTAGTTCTTGCCATAGGAGTCGTGAAGAAGAATACGTGAAAAAGGTGTGAGGATATGAAACTGCTGTCAGCGGAGATGGTCCAAGCGAGATGTAGTGGAAACCTTCAAGCGGCCGTGAAGAAGCTTTGAGTAAAAATGTGTAAGAGTAGGGTAGCGTGCCAGTCTTGAAGGATGCGGGGGATAGGGTGATAACCATACAAACAAGTTACAAGAAAAGTATTGATGCCCCATCACTAGACCTACGTGCATTTTTGATGTGGTAGATCAGTGGCTTTTAGCCTAAGCGGCGCGAGAATAACATTCCGTTACCGAGATGTCGAGGAGAAATGTAAAGGGAATTCATTAATCAACTTCAGGAATGTATTCAAGTTTTCATACGATGCATGAATAGCACGATAGTACGAATATAATGCTGAAAACCCGACAGTTCTACGACATATTTCGCTGTCGAGGTCTCGATCGATTTATAAAAGGCGCCTCGACGAACCGACAGTTAGTGAAACGAGAGATAGAATAAAAAATTCGCTAAAAACGCATGAATGGGTAAAAAACGTGAACCGACAGGAAGGGGACATGAAAGAAATGCGAGGTAAGCAAAGAAGCGGGAATGGAAAACTGATTCGAGAAGCAAGTGAAAGAGGAGCGAAGACACTATAAAAGAGGCGGTGAAGAAGAACGTGAGTCGTGACTATCGCTGATCCTAACAAAACCAGCATATGCTAAGTACGCGTGATACTGGAAATAAAGAGAGCGCATGGAAAATGCTTAAATGAAAAAAAAGAAAGCGCGAATAACTTGAAGAGGCAGAGTGGGAGGGAAGGTTTGAGAAACGAAAGAGACCTGGTGTAAGGATGGCGGTATGAATGCGTGTGTAGGTAATATTCTGATGGACGCCTGAACGCTGAAATGTAAATAACACGTGAGGGGGAGTAAAGCAGAAGTAAAAGTAAGAGAGGCAAAAAAAAGTTAAAGAAAGTGTAAGACTTGATGAAGGATTCAATAAACCTCAAAAAAACGTGAACGATTAGTAAGGAAGATTTGAAGGAGATGAAGAAAATAGAAGTTGGGAGGGGGAGGGGGGAGAATTAAAAATAAATGAGAGCCCTGAAAGATGCGTGGAAAAAGGAGTCTAAGATATGTAGAGACGTGAAAGAGTGCGCATAGAAGACCCTTGAGAAGGGCGTGGAGATGGTGTGAACGTGAAAGCAAGCACGAGAATGGTTTAATGTAGGGCCGACGGAAACGCGATAAAACGCAATGGAAAGAAGGCATCTCAAATATGAAATGTGAGGTAGGAGTGTGTGTAAGGGAGGAGGGAGAGGGAGGATATAAAATAACTCTAAGAGGCGAGAGAGAAGCCAGAAAGGGACGCGAAAGGAAAACTTCAACAGATGACAGAATGACCTGAAGGAAGGAGGAGTTAAAGAGGAATTTCTTAGGGGGGAGGTGTGAAAAATGAACGAAGAAGCCGTGGTTTCGGGAGATATAAAACCACCCGAAAATATACGAGAGTTAAAAGCAGTGCCGAACGAGCCGACACTCGGTGTCGAAAGGTGAGAGGTTCTAATAAAAGCGTAAGGATGACGTAAAGAAGGCTGCCGCGAAGAATTCAAGGATGAAGAAAACAGACTGAAAGGATGCGTGTATAGGAGACCACTGAAGTCGACGAAAATGCAAAAGAGGTAACATTATTTTGCAAACCGTTAGATATTTCCAAAACGGATCCAAATTTTCCTACACATCTCCTGAAAGCGTAAAATACAGTGGCGTGTAGCTGATTTAGCTGAAGTGGAAGACGTGCAGAGGGGTCGATGGTAAAGGAAGAGCGAGAAGGGGCGTGAAACCTCCAAATTACGAAACAAAAACTAGAGCGCTACATCTACGTAATCCGGGTATAGGTTAAGGCGAATAGAAATCAGCTACTGTTACCTCTAGAAACGTAGTTTTAATTGTGCAGACAATAACCGTGCACATTGTCCGGCTTGGACGTCATCATGAGACGCTCGTAGCTTCTCCAACCGTTGCTTTTTTAGGGACGACATACAACTTTCATTATCTGTATATAATAAAGATGGAAATAGTCAACCGGTGACGGTACTAGAGCCACATCCCTTATTTTGAAATGTAACCATAACCTAACTTTTCAACTTAAAAGAAGTCCTCTTTTCCGTCTCTAATTGAACGTTTTTAATGTATATTTCAGGAGAAACTCTTCGAAAATGAATTGCACTATACCGGGCCCCAACATAAAGGGTAAAATTGAACATTTTAAGGTTATGTCGTCGTACCCCTAACACAATTTCCTGTTGCAGTGCTTAGTAAATTAATTAATGCGCTCTCTAAAATCGGAGACGATGTCTACGTGGAGGCAAAAAAGGACTATCTCTCGCTTAAAAGCGTAAACATGACCACTACGGCGTACTGCACGGTCCATCTCAGAGACACCTTCTTCTCCTCGTACGAGGTGTCCCAAATTGACTTACAGTGCCGGATCCCAGTTAAGGGCATGCTGAGCGTGTTCAAGTCTTTCTCGCACAAGGATAAAAAGGTACTAGCCTGCGAGGTGTCGTCCATCGTAACTACTGGTGGAATTCTAGATGGAGTTTTGCAAAATCGAGTTGGAGGAGGACCCAGTGAAGATAGTATTTAGATTTAAGTACAAACATGATGTGATGGTGGTGCGGGCACTCTTTTTAAGCGACGGAGAAGCGGTGAATATCGTGTACAATAAGGATAACAATACCAGTTACTTGGGGGCTACGGCACAACTGTTCGGTCAAGTTTTGTGTAATTTCCAGTTGCATGATGACGACATGAGCTTAGATGTTACGTCTCAGCGAGCACTAATTCGCAATTATATCACAGGTAGGTAGTGTTCTTCACTACTATACTCTCTAAACACTTTGTGTAGGAGACACAGCAGTCACAAAAGGCGTGCGATCCCAGATTACTCTCATGGCGGGCGAATTCAGTAGTTTCAAAATTACGCGCGACACAAACATCACCTTCTCACTAAAACCGTTTCGCGCCGCCGTCAGCCTAGCCGAAACCACCACTCTGGGAATGCTACTCAATTTCGACGCACCAGGCCGGTGAGTAACTCCCTCCGCCGCTCGCAATTGAACACATTTATGATTGATGCCACAGGCCGGCGCTTATCGAAGTGAAAAACCCAACATTCGAGGTGAACTTTGTCATCGCGACCCTCAAATCGAACGACGTCCCGTCAACATTAACCTCGTCGGCGGTGCCCATCATGAACGATGTAAATTGGGAAGATTTCACTGATCCCATGGATCTGCCGGAGAAAGAGAACGGGGACGTGATCACGCGATCTCCCGAGTCGACGCACAGCACGAAGATCAGGCGAATTTTCGGAAGGTGCTACGAGGACACGTTTCATCCGCAAATGGCCGATTTGGGCGAAGTTCTCGCCCCCGACTCCGATCCAGATACAGACTGATTTGTGTATTTGTAGAATTAAGGAAAATTATATGACTAGTTTTTTGTTTATTGGATTTTAATTCACTGCTGCATATTGCCAGCTGCGAGCACATACATCCCCCCCGCCCTGACACACAACGTAGAAGCTCCACACTTGCTCCAAAATTGAGGAAAACGATAGATCCTCCACTTTTAAATAAATTGCAACAACGTAGGAGGTCTATATACTTCCCCAAAATTTGGGAAAACGTTAGATCTTCCACTTTTAAATAAATTGTAACGTAGGAGCTCTAAACTTGCCCCAAAATTTGGGAAAACGTTAGATCTTCCACTTTAAATAAATGACAATAACGTAGGAGCTCTACACTTGCCCCAAAATTGGGGAAAACAATAGATCCTCCACTTTTAAATAAATTGTAACAACGTAGGAGTTCTATACTTGCCCCAAAATTTGGGAAAACGTTAGATCTCCACTTTAAATAAATGACAACAACGTAGGAGCTCTACAATTGCCCCAAAATTTGGGAAAACTTAGATCTTTCACTTTAAATAAATGTAACAACGTAGGAGTTCTATACTTGCCCCAAAATTTGGGAAAACGTTAGATCCTCCACTTTAAATAAATGACAATAACGTAGGAGCTCTACACTTGCCCCAAAATTGGGGAAAACAATAGATCCTCCACTTTTAAATAAATTGTAACCAAAATTTGGGAAAACGTTAGATCTTCCACTTTAAATAAATGACAATAACGTAGGAGCTCTACACTTGCCCCAAAATTGGGGAAAACAATAGATCCTCCACTTTTAAATAAATTGTAACAACGTAGGAGTTCTATACTTGCCCCAAAATTTGGGAAAACGTTAGATCTTCCACTTTAAATAAACGACAACAACGTAGGAGCTCTACAATTGCCCCAAAATTTGGGAAAACGTTAGATCTTTCACTTTAAATAAATGACAACAACGTAGGAGTTCTATACTTGCCCCAAAATTTGGGAAAACGTTAGATCTTCCACTTTAAATAAATGACAATAACGTAGGAGCTCTACACTTGCCCCAAAATTGGGGAAAACAATAGATCCTCCACTTTTAAATAAATTGTAACAACGTAGGAGTTCTATACTTGCCCCAAAATTTGGGAAAACGTTAGATCTTCCACTTTAAATAAATGACAACAACGTAGGAGTTCTATACTTGCCCCAAAATTTGGGAAAACGTTAGATCTTTCCCTTTAAATAAATGACAACAACGTAGGAGTTCTATACTTGCCCCAAAATTTGGGAAAACGTTAGATCTTCCACTTTAAATAAATGACAATAACGTAGGAGCTCTACACTTGCCCCAAAATTGGGGAAAACAATAGATCCTCCACTTTTAAATAAATTGTAACAACGTAGGAGTTCTATACTTGCCCCAAAATTTGGGAAAACGTTAGATCTTCCACTTTAAATAAATGACAACAACGTAGGAGCTCTACAATTGCCCCAAAATTTGGGAAAACGTTAGATCTTTCACTTTAAATAAATGACAACAACGTAGGAGCTCTAAAGTTGCCCCAAAATTTGGGAAAACGTTAGATCTTCCACTTTAAATAAATGACAACAACGTAGGAGCTCTACACTTGCCCCAAAATTGAGGAAAACGATAGATCCTCCACTTTTAAATAAATTGTAACAACGTAGGAGGTCTATACTTCCCCAAAATTTGGGAAAACGTTAGATCTTCCACTTTAAATAAATGACAACAATGTAGGAGCTCTACACTTGCCCCAAAATTGGGAAAACGATAGATCCTCCACTTTTAAATAAATTGTAACAACGTAGGAGCTCTATACTTGCCCCAAAATATGGGAAAACGTTATATCTTCCACTTTAAGTAAATGACAACAATGTAGGAGCTCTACACTTGCCCCAAAATTGGGGAAAACGATAGATCCTCCACTTTTAAATAAATTGTAACAACGTAGGAGCTCTATACTTGCCCCAAAATATGGGAAAACGTTATATCTTCCACTTTAAGTAAATGACAACAATGTAGGAGCTCTACACTTGCCCCAAAATTGGGGAAAACGATAGATCCTCCACTTTTAAATAAATTGTAACAACGTAGGAGCTCTATACTTGCCCCAAAATATGGGAAAACGTTATATCTTCCACTTTAAGTAAATGACAACAATGTAGGAGCTCTACACTTGCCCCAAAATTGGGGAAAACGATAGATCCTCCACTTTTAAATAAATTGTAACAACGTAGGAGCTCTATACTTGCCCCAAAATATGGGAAAACGATCAATCATACACTTCAAATAAATTATAACAACGTAGGGGCTCTACACTTGCCCCAAAATTGGGGAAAACGATAGATCCTCCACTTTTAAATAAATTATAACAACGTAGGAGCTCTACACTTGCCCCAAAATTGGGGAAAACGATAGATCCTCCATTTTTAAATAAATTATAACAACGTAGGAGCTCTACACTTGCCCCAAAATTGGGGAAAATGATAGATCCTCCACTTTAAATAAATTATAACAACTCGGAAGCTCTACAGTTGCCCCAAAATTTGGGAAAACGATAGATCTTCCACTTTAAATAAATGACAACAACGTATTAGGAGTTCTACACTTGCCCCAAAATTGGGGAAAAGGATCAATCATCCACTTTAAATAAATTATAACGTAGGGGCTCTACACTTGCCCCAAAATTGAGGAAAACGATTCTGGGGGGGGGGGGGTGATTAAACAAGTTCGTGGCACATACAGTCACCCAGTGCGTACTAGAAGGGGGGGGGTTGCAGGTTGCTGATAGTCATTTATCTATTTATTATTGTACAGGCGAAAAAGATTAGATTAGAACGGTATTTTATTTCGTACTGCTGACAGGCCCCTTTATTGCATTTGCTTTAATTAGTCAACGAAAACTTTGAATAATAGGTATATTTATGGGCAAAAAACCAATTTCGACAAAAAATTCAAAGGGCTGTAACTTTTGATCTAGTAGTCCGATCTTGGAACTGTTTGAAATTATGGATTCTACAGGCCACATTCTATAAGAAAATATTTTTTTTCCGGTCGATCTGAGACAATTTTTTTTCTGGGCAAAAAAAGGCAGTGTACCTTTTTTTTCCCAAAAATCGACTGCACCAAAATTTCTCGGGAAAAAACTTTTTCTTATTAATTTGGGTGCGTAGAATCCAAAACGATTCGTACTTTTTCGATTAGACGTCTCCATCAAAAGTTATGGGCAAAAAAATTCCTGTTTTTAAAATTTAAAATTCTTATTTTCGTCATTTCGTGAAAGGCAGACGCAGGTACCTCACCTCAGTAGCAGTACTAAGTACCTGATACCTATTTGTTATTTTGGGCATCAATGTAGCGAATTGCCGATCGATGCCGAATAGCCAAATCGTTGACTGTCAACACTGACCACTCACTGAATACTACAGAATATTTAGATTTTAGTGACTTTAGACTTTAACCAAAACCAAAGTTGCTCTCTATATATTATTGCCTTTATTTTAAAGTGGGCGGAGCGGAGTAGGTATTACCTAAATACCTAATTTACCCCGTAAATCCGCCACTGAAAACGATAGATCCTCCACTTTAAATAAATTATAACAACGTAAGAGCTCTACAGTTGCCCCAAAGTTTGTGAAAACTATAGATCCTCCATTTTTAAAAAAATGACAAGGTAGGAGCTCTACACTTGCCCCAAAATTGGGGAAAACGATAGATCCTCCACTTTAAATAAATTATAACAACTCAGAAGCTTTACAGTTGCCCCAAAATTTGTGAAAACGATAGATCCTCCACTTTAAATAAATTATACCAACGTAGGAGCTCCAGACTTGCCCCAAAAGTTGGGAAAACGTTAGATATCTTACACTTTAAATAAATAACAACGTAGGAGCTCTACACTTGCCCCAAAATTGGGGAAAAAGATAGATCCTCCACTTTTAAATAAACTATAACAACGTAAGAGCTCTACACTTGCCCCAAAATTGGGGAAAGTGATAGATCCTCCACTTTTAAATAAACTATAACATAGGAGCTCCACAGTTGCCCCAAAATTGGGGAAAATGATAGATTCTCCACTTTAAATAAATTCTAAATATTTCCGGAGGACCACAGGTGTCCCAAAATTAGGGAAAATATTTCAGGAGCTGGGGCATATCGCTATCCGAAAATTAAAATCTCCACTTAATTCTGTACAAATCCAATTACCTGAAAGAAAAAAGTAAACAACAAATCGTCCCTTTCATCGTGTTAGGGTGTCCCTTTAACGTACATTTCGCTTACGCCCGGGTCACCCTATGAACACTTCTGTACAGTGTAAAATGATTTAATCACTATTATAAGGATTAAATGGTAGATCAGATCTATGGTACAACATGTCCAGTTCGAATCAAGGTCCCTTATGTCACATTATATTATAAATGATGGTATTGTACATGTTACACTTACGCTAATTTTACTAAACAAATTAAAATTTTCCCAGTCTAAAATATCGCAACACTGCAAAACAAAACACCGTTCGAAGCATAGATCACCTTTATTTATTTACAAATTGTTCCCCCTTCTTAATGCTAGCAATCAGTTCCGGTATGCCAGCCTTCAGCAGCTGCTGCTCGAACGCGCTTAGCGTGCCGAGTCCCAGGTTCTTCTCGATTCCCCCTTTTCCCAACAGTAGAGGCGTCGCGAAGTAGGGCGCCTCGGTGACGTCCGACTTGACGAACGCGCACTCGATGACGTTCGCCTCACCCTTCAGACCGCGTAGCAGGGCGATGGCGAATCTGGCGCCCGCGTACGCCATCGAGAGTGTCGCCGAGCCGGCGCCCGCCTTCGCCTTGACCACCTCCGTGCCGGCGTCCTGAATGCGTACGGTGAGCGCCTTGAGCTCGCTCTCGCTGAACGACACCTTGGGCGACGCCTGCGAGATGAGCGGCATGATCGTGACGCCTGCGTGACCGCCGATGACCGGCACTTTGACGGTAAGCGGGTCGAGACACTTTGCCTCCGCGATGAAGGTGTTTGCGCGGACGACGTCGAGGGTGGTCACGCCGAATATTCTCTTGGGGTCGTATTTACCTGCCTGTATAATTGAGTAACAAATAAGTCAAATAACAAGTATCATAAAACGCAAGTATTTGGCGGCCATTTTTAGTATCTGGCAAATGGACACAGTTAGGCCGTTAGGCGTTTAAAAAGTTTTCTGTGTAGAACTTTTTGCTCAATTTCACCCTGTATATTCCACCCAACATACACGGTGCAAAGTGGAAATGTGTAAAAAAAAATTTTTTTCCAACATGTCAGCTCCACCGGACACTTATTGCTCAACTCTATACTGGATGATGTAAAATAAAGGTGCACTAAATAGGACCAAACCAAAAAATTTGATTTTTTCAATTTTGTAAAAATGTTTTTAAAATTCCCCCGCTCCCTCCTGCTTTGTCAAAAATTCCTACACAAAGACGCAAAAAGGGTTCAAGCCCCGTGTATTTAACCAGTCTCTTTGCCGAGTTCTATATACAGGGTGTAACATGTACAAAATTGTGGAAAGAAGGTGGGTCCACGTTTTTTTTTTTGGATTGTTGACTTTTTAGGGAGGGGTGGCGCTATACGCGTGTCGTTGGAGAGAGATCTGCACCCTGTACATAGTTTGGAAATTGATCTCAGTTGACATTATTTTTTATGTGGAAATATTTTTTGTACGTGTTACATCCTGTGTATATAGGACAGTAAACCACAAAAACAGGTGTGAACAGTACTGTAACCCCCCCCCCCCCCAAACAAAAAACTAAAATACTATTTTTCGTCCTACCACCCTGTATATTTCACCAGTGTCTCCTGAATTCTATACACAAGGTGTAACATGTCAAAAATTGTGGAAAGAAGGTATGTGTCCCCGTTAGTTACTCATCCATTGTTGACTTTGTAGGGAGGGGAGAGGGGCGCTATACTTGTGCCGGTGAACACCCTGTTGCACCCTGTACATAGTTTGGAAATCGACCTCGGAATATTTTTGTGTACATATTACATCCTGCATATAGAGTACAGTAAACCACAACAACAGGTGTGAACACTCCCCCCCCCCGATCACAAAACTTTCTACCACCCAATATACTTCACCAGTCTCTCACCGATTGCTCAACTATATACAACTATATACAGGATGATGTAAAATAAAGGTGCACTAAATAGGACCAAACCAAAAAATTTGATTTTTCCAAAATTCAATTTTGTAAAAATATTTTTAAAATTCCCCCGCTCCCTCCTGCTTTGTCAAAAATTCCTACACAAAGACGCAAAAAAGGGTTCCAGCCCTGTGTATTTAACCAGTCTCTTTGCAGAGTTCTATATAAAGAATGTAACATGTAAAAAATTATGGAAAGGGGGGGGGGGCTCTATACGCGTGTCGGTAAAAGACCCTGTTGCACCTTCTACATAGAGTTTGCAAATGGATGGATGGTTGACACTACATTTCATGTAGAAATATTTTTTGTGCATGTTACACCCTGTATATACAGTTCAGTAAACCATAAAACAGGTGTTAAAAAGTGTCTACCTACCCCCCCCCCCCCCAAATTGGTGGAAAGTAGGTACCCTGTTATATTTTTTTCGGTTAATTTAGGTGAGGGGGGGGTCCGCAGAGAGTTCAGAAGTCTTGTTAGACATTATTTTTTTGGGGGAATATTGAAAACTGTTACTACTTACCAACATTTTACATAATATCACCCAGTATATTCCACCACTCTACCATTGCCAAATTCTATAGGTATACAGGGTGTAACATTTTGCAAACAAACTAAGGATCAAAAATGAAAACAAACGGCGGCAGAGTATTGACAGTTTTTGAATGACCATCCTGTACATTTGCCAGCAATAAAAACGAACCAATCCCGTTATAGCTCCTCGGAGTTGAGCATTTTGCCTGACCTTTTTGAATATTTCGGAAGCAATGGGAACCGTCGAGTTAACCGGGTTGGAAATGATGGCGAGCATCGCCTTGGGACAGGCCTCGACGCACGCCTTCGCGATGTCTCGCACGATGGACGCGTTGGTGTTGAAAAGGTCGTCTCTCGTCATGCCTACAAGACTTTGTTAGTTAAGACAGTCGCGTCGTAACCTTACCCACCAGGTTTTCGGGGTACACCGGCCGGAATCACGACGACGTCGCAACCCTTAAAAGCGTCACAAATGCTCTCTGCCCCGACATATCTAAACGACAAAGTATAAACCGCAATTTACGCAAAATATATTGCTTACCCCTTTACTTTCGCGGGCGTTTCGATATGCGAGAGGTCAGCGGCGACACCGGGGGTATGTACGACATCGTACAGGGATAATTCAGTAACGAGAGGGTTTTGCTTGAGCAGGAGCGATAGGGGTTGCCCGATTCCGCCGCTCGCGCCTGCCACGGCCACTTTGAAGTTGTTCTAAATGGCACTTGGGATTGCATAATCGAGATTAAAATAGGAATTTTACCTGAGGCGTCGTGCTGAAGCATTTAACTGCCTTTGGTACGCCGGAAATGGACGGTTTCACGATCCGGTTGAGCATTGCTTAATTAATTACTGATGACTAGGGAGGAAATTTACTTGAAAACTTGCCGCTAACCCTCGCGACCTTTAAATAAGAAAAAGGACAGCGAAATGTCAAACGAGTCACTTACGTCATTAACCAAAGAGTTGGTAAATTGTATTGTACAGAGTGCGTCAATTTGAAGGCGCAATATACAAAGAGTTCATTTTAGTTACATCGAGTGGTACTGCATCTAATCATGGAAGGCCACCAAACCACCCCGGAGCAGAGAGGCAAGCACCCCAGTGTGCAGAAGAAGCTGAGGTCATACAGTTCTAACACATCAATTATGACAAGTAAAAGGTGCGAAAGAAAGAGAAGCGATAATAAAGTGTGAGAGAAGTACGAAAAAGGGAGATGAAACCCATCGGGCGCACCTCCATAATCAATAACTAAATAAAGGGATAAGGGGAAGCCCACACAGGCACCCAAATGATCGTAAAGAGACTCGTGCTTCGGTATGGGCAGTGACGATTGTACGTGGCGCATGGGAGCCAAAACCCAGACGGATAGGGACAAAGGTCGTAGTCGCGGACCAACCTACCAAGTTAAGATGTTAGCGAACGCATCGGGGTGCAGTGTCGATACCGGTCCCTCGGATACCGGGCGACCTCCTAGTGGTAGCCTCTTTCCTTCGCGACTAAACGATGCAGGAATAACATGATAGTACGACTATAATGCCGAAAACCCGAAAGTTCTACGATATTTCGTTGCCGAGATCTCGATCAATTTACAAAAGGCACCCGAATAAGCTCATTTTTGAAATGTTGCCTGTAAAAAACCATTCACTTCGTTTGTTACTACCGTATGCAGTGAATATTCAGAAAATGGTAAATGAAATTTAATATACCTCTCGCCGGGAAAGATTGCCGGTCACAGAAGACCTGATCCCGGTCTACAATCTGTGTTTTTCTTAAGATGTGAGCGACTTCCGGGATAGGATCGTGCCAATGTGAAGCAAAAGTCTTTTCGTTGAACTTTGGCACGATCCTATTCCGGAAGTCGCTCGCATCTTAAAAAAACATTGATTGTAAATTGACACAAGGTGTGCTGTGACCGGCAATCTCTCCTGGCGAGAGTTATATGTAATATGCAATGCCTATTTTATTTCTTGCAGTGAACGGATTGACAACATATGTGAGAAAATGCGACATTAAGACTAGGGATGGGCGATAACTGTTTTCACCTATCGATATAAGTATCGGGTACTTACCTATCGATATATTTTACTTATCGATATGCCGATAATTATCGAAATATCGATGGTTATAGATACACCGATAACTATCGAAAGATCGATAACTACCGCTATATCTATAAGTATCGGTATATCGATAGTTCTCGTTATGGCGATAGTTTTTAATATAGGTATCGATATAATATTACCGATAATTTTTTTGAAAGCGTGTCTAAAAACTGCATGAGTTTACTTTTATATTTTGGCGAAAGAGCCCGACAAGAGAAGAGGGCTCTTTTAACAAAATATGAAAATAACCGAATGCAGTTCTTGCAACTTTAATGGAGTTACCATATTAACTGTGCAATTATCGCAGGGCTCTTTAGCATTTCTGTTTTTTTGTGACTGGTCCTCTGTAACCATCAGTCAGATACCGATACATAGGCCATGATTACACCCTTTGATTGTCTTCTTTATTTTATCTAAAGAGTAGCCATTTTGATGCAACATTTTGTTTTTGAAGTGCTTCTTTTTTTTGAGCAATCGTCAGTAAGACGAAAAGATCTATTTTCTAAAGATTTTATTACTGCGTTTATTTGGCATGGATGATGATGTGACGTAGTGCTTCTCTTGAGAAAGGGAGCAAAGTTAAGTTTCCGAAACGTCGAGCAACTAAAAATAGTAAATTTACACGAGAGTAAACCCGAAAATGGATTTTATTATAAAAATAGTAGCGCTCGTTGAAATCTCAACAAGAACATAATTTTATCGTGCAGTTATCGACATATCGATATATCAATAGTTATCGACATATCGATATATCAATAGTTATCGACATATCGATAGTTATCGACATATCGATAGTTATCGACATATCGATATAGTTATCGACATATCGATATATCAATAGTTATCGACATATCGATAGTTATCGACATATCGATAGTTATTGACATATCGATATATCAATAGTTATCGACATATCGATAGGTATCGATATATCGATACTTATCGATAAGTATCGATAGTTATCGATCTATCGATATATCGATTTTTTTTAGCTCTACCTATTGTTATTCGATATAACCTATCGATATATCGAAAAAAATTCCCATGCCTAATTAAGACCTTTAATGGCCTGTCACCTTGCAACTTTATGAAAAACAAAGGTCGAGACATTCTCAACTGTAATAATTATTGTAAAAGTGATAATTGTAACAAAAATTCTCTTTAAAAAAAGGTCAGTTTATTGTCAATTTGGTAGGATTAATGCATATTTGAAGCAAAAGCTTAAATAAAACAGCTCTCCACACCACTCAGTATGTCGCCTTCCTTTCCCTTGGGTACTTCTTTTGATTTCTTCAGATTTTTCTTGATATTATCAGATTAATTGACAGAAAGAAGTTGAATATTGTCACCTCAGATCACCCTTACAGGAAGGGCTACTCCTTTTGGTAGCGCGGTATCTTTGCATCACCATCAAGAGCACGAACGAATTCTGGATTTCTGAAATTACTGCGCACATTTCCGTTTCTGAAGTTTTTCAAAATTTCCAAACAGACATGGAAGACCGCCTGGACAGCAATAAAACGAGCCGAGATTGTAGTCAGATTTTAAGCTTTGGGCGGGAAACTTTAAGCAAAAGCGGAAATAAGAATAGGGTGATACAAACGAGAGGAATTCAAAAATGCAGAATCGAAAAACAAGTGAGAAATGGGGGGGGGGGGGAATTGATTGTTAAATAAAAGAATGGGGGGGGGGCAAAATAAAGCCGACCGAACACAGAATAATTATAAAAAGGTACACAGAATCCGGAAATAAGAAACGGAATCAGGATGGAACTCAGGGATGGAAACAAGCAGAAAAGGAAACTTGGAAATTGGAAAGGGAACGGAAAACGGGATATGGAAACCGAGTCAGCTTTGCTTCACTCATTTGCTGGATTATTTAAAGCTCTAATTTTACAATTTATTTAAATATGCACACAGTTCAATTAATATCCTTTGACCTTTTTTTTAAAGAGGTTTAAACATCTTTTTCTTAAATGGATCGTTAATGCTGGCATATATGTAGGAAAAGATATTGAGATCCTGTATATACAACTTACGATGATACATACATTTTTAAGAGTTGGCAACCATGCAATTTCTAGGTGGGAAAAAGCTGCCTGCGCCATCTAGATAGCACGAACGTGGGTTACGTTTGGCATCTTGTCTTGAATGGCGGTCCATAAATGTTTGTTGTTATTTTGTGTTTTTTTATGCAGGTAGTAGTTTTTGCATTTCTTTATATAGTATTTGCGTTTTGTATGCCGCATTTGATATTTTTTTTGTGTTTCAATCTCTGTTTTTGAAATACTTTGTTTAACCGCAATGCAGAATGACATGTGTAATACCGTTATCCTATTGTTTCTCATCGTTTACGTTTTTGATGTAATGTTTGTTTTTCAGTCCAATACGACAACGCGATACAGGAAGCAATAAAAACACTGGTAGCGAAAATCGTTGAACTTGACACGAGCAAGCAAATGCAGCGAAAAACCAAGCCCAACGATACGGAATCGAGAGCGTAGTAGCACACCAAGAAGAGAGTATGAAACTTGTTTACAAAAAAATGATTTTTCTCAAAACATGCGTGCAAAAAACAGTTTTGACATATAGGTACGCCCTCGGGTACGCCATCTTTGCACACAACCCAAGATGGCGGATAGTGTCGCCCTTCTACTTTACTTACAATTCAGAAGGAACGTTACTCCGGCCACCAAAGATGTTAATACTTATTAACAAATGAAAAAAAGCGAGATTTCTATTTTTTATTTCTTACAGCTAGGAATTATTTCGGTAAGCCCTTCTTGATTAGCTTCTCCAACTTTTTTATCCGTCCACCTTCGTTCGTAGCACCGTCGTCTTCATGCGTTTCCTTTTCGATGCCCGGCTTGTGCGAGCGAAATATCTCGATCAGGTACGCCTGCTCCTGCTTCTTGACGTTTTTCATTTCGAGTATCTTCGTCAGCTCCGACGCCTGGCATTCGGGCAGAAGCTTCATGAACTGTTCGACGAACGCCTTCGACGGATCGACGGGCGTCATCACCACCTTCAGAATCATCTCCGCCCTCGTGATGCCCTTTATTACGGCTTTAGTGTAGGTCGCCGGCGCCTGTCGATTAATTTGGGACGCGACCAAGGGGAGGTTTAGCAGAAGCAGTTTGACCATGTAGGTGTCGAGTAGCAGCTGCTCCGCCCCCTCGGTATTTATTGGTTTGCATTTGTAGATGTTGTTCGTAAATTTCGGAATGAAGGAATTGGCGAATTTTATGCAGAACTGGGTGAAGTACTTGCGGGAATGTGAGAGATGGTCGCGTATTATCGGCACTGTGCTTTCGAAGTGGGTCGCTATCGAAGCGGTGTACGGGCTTTGGTCGCCGACGCAATCAATACTTTGCCATTGGATCTAGAACCAAATGACTGAAATAAACTACATCAGGCAAATTCATTCAGCCGGTCCTGCCTGTGTTAATTATTAAATGAAATGTAGTCTTACCTCCAGCCTCCAGATCAAAAAGACTCACAAGTTAGTCGATCCTATTTAAGAAACCTACCCTTGGGGACTGAAATTTTTCACAAAACACAGAGCAGAATCAGCTTAACGCACTGAACTCCACCTACCTTGCCCATTGCGGTCAACGCGGGCTCGCAGGCGTTCTCCAAGTCCTGTACCAAAATTTGAATGCAATTTGATATTACGCTGCAAAGCAATCACTCGTTAAACAATCGTGAGGCGAGAGGGACCGCATTCACCTGTGAAAAATGCTCTCCTCCTGCGACAAATTGATCTGATCGGCCAGACTCGGTTCGGTCTTCTCCTTCAGCTTCTGCGTGAGCTGTTGCGTCGTCTCCAGGCAGTACTCGGCAGTCGTAAGCGTGCAACAGATCTTCCGCAGCTCGTCCTTGGTGAAACGCGTGATCTCGCCCTCCTTGAGAAACGACGAGAAGTTCTGTATCAGACCTGAGGTGGACATCTTCTGCAGGTCGCGCGTGATCGACTGAACGCTGCTGCCCAACGACTGCGTCTCGATCTTCGGCAGATTGTTCTGCAGTATTTTAATGGCGTACTCGCGCAGATACTTTTGGAAGAGCTTGGTTAGATCGAGCATCGTTTGGCCCTTGCTCAGCTGCGTGCATTGCACCATGCTCTTCTTGTAGAACACGAAGAGATCACCGCAACTGGGAAGGACGCTCGCCTGCGTCTCAGTCGCTTCGGTCATGATGTTCTTGTTGTCGTTGTTGAGGAACCTCTCGATCAGATCGGCCAAATTTCGATCGATGCTCTCGATGTAAATGTAGAGAAACGGAATGAAGCATCGCCCGATCAACCCCACGAAAACTGAGTCACCGGCTGTAAAAAAATTCAGAATAGAACACGTACGATAAAAATGCGTTACCGATGAACACTCCAACTAAAATGAATGCATTGCGCATGACAAAAGTTGAGAACGCCTTATAACAAACAAAAAAACCAATTTTTTAAAAGTAGGTCAAGGTGATATACCACGTGGTGGTCACTCGGGAAATTGGACCATGGTGAAAGTTATATGCCACGTGACCTTGTAAAATATGTCGCAGTAAAAGTCAAAGTGCACACTGTAGTTGATTTTTTGGGGTGTCAAATTTAAATTTACAAGGTCATACATGGTCAATTACCTCAACTGATGTGGTGTTAAATTAGATTTCCGAGGTCAACCAAGATCAGAGACCTCAACTGTGGTATCCAATTGCATTTTCAATGTCACCTAAGGTCAATTACCTCAATTCTGGTGTCAAAATACAACCTCAAGAACATTCAAGGTCAATGACTAGATTGTTGTGGTGTCAGGTTACATTTTCAAGATCGAAGGGCAATTTCCTCATTTTTGTAGTGTCTAATTACATTCTCGAGGTCATCCAAGGTCAATGAACCCAATTTTTTGCTTTGTTCAGGAGCATACAAAGTCAATGGTCCCATGTTTTGTGGTGTCAAATTAAATGCTAGAGGTTATCCAAGGTCAAAGACATCGTTATGCAGTGTCTAATTATAATCTCAAGGCCATTCAGGCACAATGAACCCATTTCTCGTGTTGCAACATTACGATTTCAAGGTCATACAAGGGATTAAATGACCTCATTTTTTAATTACATTCTCCAGACCATCCAAGGTTGATGAACCCATTTTTTACGGTGTCAAATTATATTGTCAAGGACATACAAGGTCAATCAACCCATTTTTTGCTATGTTCAAGAGCATACAAGTTCAATGGCCCCTTGTTTTGCGGTGTCAAATTACATGCTAGATTATCCAAGGTCAAAGACATCGTTATGCAATGTCTAATTATACTCTCAAGGTCATTTAAGCACAATGAACCCATTTTTCGTGTTGTGAAATTACGTTTTCAAGGTCATAGAAGGGATTATATGACCTGATTTTTTAATTACATTCTCGAGACCATCCAAGGTTAATGAACTAATTTTTTGCGGTGTCAAATTATATTGTCAAGGGCACACAAGGTCAATGAAACCATTTTTTTGCTTTGTTCGAGAGCATACAAGGTCAATGGCCGCTTGTTTTGCGGTGTCAAATTACATGCTAGAGGTTATCCAAGGCCAAAGGCATCGTTATGCACAGTCTAATTATACTCTCAAGGTCATTCAAGCACAATGAACTCATTTTTCGTGTTGTGAAATTACGTTTTCAAGGTCATAGAAGGGATTAAATGGCGTCATTTTGTTAATTACGTTCTCGAGACCATCCAAGCTTAATGAACTAATTTTTTGCGGTGTCAAATTATATTGTCAAGGGCACACAAGGTCAATGAAACCATTTTTTTTGCTTTGTTCAAGAGCATACAAGTTCAATGGCCCTTGTTTTGCGGTGTCAAATTATATGCTAGAGGTTATCCAAGGTCAAAGACATCGTTATGCACTGTCTAATTATACTCTCAAGGTCATTCAAACACAATGAACCTATTTTTCGTGTTGTGAATTGTTTTCAAGGTCATAGAAGGGATTAAATGACCTCATTTTTTAATTACATTCTTAAGACCATCCAAGGGTAATGAACCCATTTCTTGCGGTGTCAAATTATATTGTCAAGGGCATTCAAGGTCAATATCTTGCGGACTCGTTCTTCTCGCTCTTACACGATTCGCGTGTATTTATTGGCTCTAGGAGACGAGGGAGTGAGCTTATTGCGTCTTTTCAAATTGATAAATTGTTTGTCTTACCGTCGATAACGCTGCAATTTATCCGTTTTGCAACCGTTCCTGTAGGAATATTGTTTTACAGCCACCGAACGCTCTCTTGACAGGGTAGAAGGAAGAGAATCAGAGATTTGAGTATTCTAAAATCCAGAATAAAACCGGCAAGGTAGGTCGCGCAGTTAACGGAAATATCAACCGATTGCGCTTCACAAGGGCATTGTTGGACTGTCGAATTTGGAGATTTCATTCCGACTATTTGAATAAGTATAATTAACCGCCATTATATAAATGAGTTGCGGTGAAACCCGCCCGATTGAGCTTGACCTTGTCTCAAAAGAAGCGCTCAAAATAACATTCTTACCTGGCACGCCTTTTGCGCCCTCCTTGTGCCCTGCGTCTTCACTCTCAGATATCGTGACGCCGGTAAAGCGTCGCGCGAGCAGCGTCTCGAAATTCGCCGTCTTCTGTATCGCGTACAGCAGCAGCTTCACGTCGACCTCGTGCTTCCGCTTCGTCATGATCTTCGGCAGCTCCTCGCGCGTCACGTTGCAAAACTGCAGAGCGATCCGCTCCGACACCTCCCAATTCTGCGGGAACATGCCGCCCAGCCGATCCTCGAACTCGATCAGGTGCCGTTTGAGCCACGCGTACCGCTTGTCGATCTTGTCGAGCCACGCGGTCTCCTCGGTTTCGTTAAAGAGATGCATGTACTCCTGCAGTTGCAGATCGATGAACCACTTGAGCAGGTCGCGTTTCACTTTCGGCTCGAGCGCCGAGACCACAAGACAGGCGGACGCCAGCTGCTTGTTGGGTATGAAACTTTTCGCGTTCGCACCGGAGAACGCCTCCTTGAAGTCGCGAGTGATCTGCTGCGCCAAATCTTGGTGGATCGACTTGACCTGGTCACTGAGACTCTTGATTTGCGGAATATCCGTGTAGTTTTCGAAGTGGGCCATCACTTCGCTTATCGCTTGTAGGGGTAGCGCTATTTCGCCGTACTGTCGTTTCTCTGTAAGCGATTTAAGCGTATCCACTCCCCCCACCAGCATATGAAGGTGGTTCAGCGTGGTAATTGCCAAAGTTAAATTTCGTTTCGCACAATCGAGCTGTTTGATGTCGTGCGTGATTTCTCGTACCATCTCCTCAGACTTCTCCGCTCGTCCCTTTATGTCCTTGATTTGCACGAATAGCTCCCTGATAACACGCTGCGCCTCGTCGAGAGCCTGTCGGCCGTCCTGGCTGGCTGTTGTCTGCCCTCGAACGACTGTGCTGATTTCGTTGTCGATCGTCTGAATCTTCTCCTCCATTCGACTGACAGTTTCGTCAATATTTGAGAGTGACTGCTCCGTCGGAAATAAGCTATTAATGTAGTCGATTGTGTTGAAAGTGGGCTGATCTAGAGGATCGTTACTCGGTAGAATCTACAACGAAACAATCAATCAAAGTTCGTCGATGCCCACAGTTACTTGTTCAATGGCTGTTTGGACGTCGATTGGAAAATTAATAAGCAAGTCATTTGCGTCGTCCAACGCGTTTTCATCGTCAATTATTGTTAAATCCATTTTAATAACAAATTCTAAAAAAAAGTTAGGTTAAGTGTAAAGTCATCAGAGTACATTTGACCCACCTCTTGTGAGACATTCCAACTACGAATGTATAATTTGAACTAATCGAAACATATATACAAGGTAATGTTCTAGGAGGCCTACAACGGTTTTAATAAGATTGCAAAATCCAAAACTGACCCTTAAGGAGGCTTTAAAAGAAACTCTTAATGGGTTCTGTTATGGAGCCCCGTAATGAGATGATTTTGAAGGTTTTGGTGATGTTGAAGGCTTTTTGAAAACTTTGAAAACAGATTTTTGAAATTTTTAAGTTTATGTTCACCTCATGTTCAGACTTACAAGTCTGGCAAGTCTTAGAGTTCTTGGACTTTTGAAGGTCTCAATAAAGGTCTGGAAAGTCTTGACGGTTATTTTGAGACGTATGATTATGATGTCTTGAAGAACTTGCAAGCATTGGAACTGTTGGATGTTTTTTGAGCTTGATGGTTCTAGCATTAGTAATGATGGAACTGAAGGTTTAGCTTCATGTTTACAGGTTTCCAAGATGTAAAGACAATCGACGAGGTTTTTAAGAATGCTCCTGACTATTGTATCTCAGTGTTATGAACTTGTCAAAGAAATGTGATGTAAACATAACCTATTTTTGCTCTAACCTAGAAACTACAATAAAAACATGAGGAAAAAGAGTTACAATTGGAAAGGCAGGGAAGTTGTCGACACGGTAATTGACAATACCGAGACAAACAAGGTAGGAAATTCTCATTAGAAACCATCCCTCCTCTTTAATTCACTACCCAATTCCAGATACATCTTGATTTGAACGTAAAGGGCACCTACGACCAATCCAATGAGCTAGTTTTACCATCGAAGAAGCGCAAAACGAAGATCAAAAACGACAAGTCGAAGGTGACCAGAATTCTGAGCAAGAAGCAACGAAAACGGCTCGAGAAAGTCGTCGAGAAGAAGAAGAAGAAGGAAGGTGTAAGTCGTCGCGCGGGCACCTCGTTGGGTTACTGTAAGCTTGCACTTTCAGCGCGCCGAGCTATTGGAGGCCTTGTCGCAGGTGCAGGCCACGCCGGAGGAACTGAGCGGCTATACGTCGATCGCGTCGATCCAGACGATCGGTTTGAAGCGGTACTTCGCCGATCAGCAGGGGGGTAAAAAAGAGAGGGTGAAATCGGACGGTGACGAACGCCCCTTTAAGATTAACAGTATCGCCGGATCGAAACGTAAACGTATATCTCTCGCTCGAGAGGCACAGAGGGACGATCCGAATGTCATAGGGTTCGAATCCTCGGGCTCGGATTCTGAGAGTAGCGACGAGTCCTTGAAAAAAGTGAAAGTAGATGAAGAACCGCCTGAGGTAGAGGTCGTCAACGGTACAAATGCCCAAATCGAAGATCAGGCAGGTACCGTTAATGGTTCAGAAGAGATGCCGGTTGAAGAAGTTAAGGCAGTGGATCGTAAGCCGGCAATATTCGTGCCGGTCAATCGTTCGGCGGTTGTACAAAAGGCTCGACTGAAACTGCCCATACTCGCAGAGGAACAGGAAATTATGGAGCAGATCAATCAGAACTCTTTCGTGGTGCTTGCAGGTGAAACTGGTAAGCGAAAAAATAAAAAAATTTGTTCATCTGTCGTATGGTTTAAGGTCTCAGTACTGAGACAATGTAGAAAATTGAAAAATTAAGGATGTAGCAGGATTGTAGAGTTAGGGGGACAATTGAGTTTTATATTTTATGACTCTAGAGACGAAGTGTCTCCCTTTTGTGAAATACATTGATACCATGTGAACACGAACAAAATTTATAACATGGAAACTTATCACAGTGCTAATTTTACTAATAATCACTTCAGCGTCGATGTTGGAACTGAACTTAAACACACTTCTATTGGCGGAAAGTTTCTAGAAAGTCTACGAGATCTCGAGAGGTTTGGATTTGCTTTTCCGACAGGAATTTTTTATGGGGATACAAGATGCGAGTAGGTAGGTATTGTCATTCAATCTCGCATTCAATTTAAGTCGTCCTTCAGTGTTGCTTTCATAATTTACTAAAGACCTCTCTGGAGATAAGATTGAAAAACACGTGCGTTAATTAAATTTCGCCTGATAAAAACACTTCTTATCGCAAACGACTGTACTTCTAAACCTTATCTAAATTGAATAATTGTATTACAAAGCGTTAAATTTAAACAAGAATTACGCATTTACCTCGGCATTTACAAACATTTCTAAAAGGAGAAACAAACACAATTACAAATTCAAGCAAAACAAACCAACTTTGTGTTTATTCGTAAATAATCCTTTTGGTATTTCCAATCTTTCAGATGTCTATGTTCTATGTTCTTTAGATCTTTCAGCCCCCCCCCCCCCCAACACTTTCACAGATTTTTAGAGGTACATCAGAAAACACTCAGATCTGTTAGAACCATCGGGTCCTCCAGATGCTTCTAATCAACCGTTTTTATATAACTATTATCGTTCGCAGATCATCCCAAATCTTCACCTTCTTGGAATATTTGGGTTGCGTCAGATCAATCGGATCCTTCAAGTTCTTCCAAACGTTCACTGCTTCGGGACTCCCTGTATTTTCGGGTCTTTACAAAGGTCAACAAAAGTGGCGGGATTAGAGACTAATAAAATGGCGACCGCCCCAAGATGGTGGATTTAGTGACTAACAAAATGGCGACCGATCCAAGATGGCGGATTTAGAGACTAATAAAATGGCGACCGATCTAAGATGGCGGATTTGGTGGCTAATAAAATGGCGGTCGATCTAAGATGGCGCCCAACAAAATTGCGGACCACACCGCTCATTGACTGTGACGCCACAGGGGGCGGGTTCTAAAGGCTCAACTTACCGTATCGTCCGTATCCCATAGACCAAGGGGAGGGGAATAGGAGGCGCGTGTTCGTTTCTGATTGGTGTGACGTCACTTCCTGATTCAGAACAAACATAGGTCTTCTACTAATGTCCTTTTACAGATAGCGATGTTGATAAAAACAAGTTGGGGTCGGTTATTCCTGGCAGTGCGAACTGTGGACTGATCTTTTCCGTCGGATACATCTTCTTCGAGTTTGTCAAGGAGCCGTTTCTCTCTAGATGAACTTTTTCGGACGTTAACCTCCAATGTTTATAGATTGCAAGCAAATAAAAGTTTACTCCATGAGAGTTTGTTATGAATGGGGTTTTATCAATGGTTTTGATCGCACAAAAAGGAGACACTGTGGTTTTATGTCAGCACTTTTGGTTATCTCCGGAACCCATTAAAAGTACAATGCGCCATAGAATTCAAATGACGTGGAAAAGACGATTGTTATTTCCACCAATAGTTTTTTTGTTACAATTCCACCAGTCATACACTTTATTGGAAAATTCCACCCTCCTCTAATTTTGACACCCTCAGGACTTTCTGTGATATATGTAATGCCTAAACTTTTCGAACTAAATCCTAACTGTATACCTATCTCTATTTAGATCTAGATCTTGCGTATTATGCGGATGATGTAGGTTTCCGATCATTCAGGTTTTTGTGCTCCCAGGCCCTTCAGATCCTTCGGGTTTATTGCACTACGCCCCTTTAGATACTTTACACCGTTAGATCCCCCAGGTTCTTCAGATCCTTCTCACTTTTTAGATACTTTACACCCTTTAGATCCTTTGGAACGTCAGATCAATCGGATCCTTTAGATCTATCAAACTCTCCAGGTCCGTCTAAACCTTCTTATCATTCATGCTCTCCAGTTTGTCCCCCCTCTCCCCCAAGCTCTTTCTGGTAATTGAACCCTTGGGTTTTTCATATTCTTCAGAGGTTTTAAATTATTCAGCTCTTTTCGACATTTCAATCCCCATATTAAGTCCTTCGGACCTTTCCAAATCCTTCACGCCCTGAGCGTCTAGATCATTCAAAATTTTCAGGTTCTTCGAATCCTTGGAATCCGTCAGATCAATCGGATCCTTCAGATCGTTCAAGTCCGTCTAAACTTTCAGATCTTTCATGCTCCGCACCTGGGGATTCGGTACCCTCTGCGTTTCTAGGTCTTTAAGATTTCGGACACTCTTCAGGTCACTCAGCGCGCTCAGATCCTCCAGGTCCTTTAGAACTTTTATATCTTACGCACCATTCAGATCTTGTAGGTTTCGTATCATTCAGCTCTTTAATGTCCTCCATGTTCCTTAGATCCTTCGGGTTTATTAGATCCTTCCACGCTTCTTCAGTAATTTTACACCGTCAGATCTTTCAGATGCTTCATGCTTCCCAGATCGCCTAGGTTCTTCAGATCCTTCTCACTCTAAACTCCATAAGAACCTTTAGATCCGTAAGATCAATCGGATCCTTTAAATAGTTCAAATCCTTAAGATCTTCAGATTTTTCATGCCCCTCAGATCATGTCCTCTAGGTCTTTCCCCTTCAGGTCCTTCAGATCCTTCATATCCTTAAGATTTTTAAACAATCCCTCAAATCCGTTAGAACCCACAGATCCTTTAGATTCTACTGAATCTTCAAATTCCGCAGATTCTTCCTCGGATTCTTAAAATCTTTCAGATTGTTCCGACCATTCAAATCCATTCGAACCTGTAACCCCTCCACCAACTACATAACTCGAAAATTTCATAAGGTTTTCGGATATTTTCAGATTCCTCACTTTTCTCATTTGCCTCCCCCCCCCCCTCTTCCAGCTTATTCAGGTACTTGAACCCTCAGGTTTTCCAAATTTTTCAGATCTTGGAGGTTTTCGTTCTTTCAACTTTTTCATGCCCTTCAGGTCCTTCAGATCCTCTTATTTTAGTAGATCCTCCACGCCCTTCATATACTTTACACTCTTTGTATCTCTCAGATCCAGTAGAACCCTCAGATCTTTCAGATGCTTGATGTCTGCCACATTCCCCAGGTTCTTCAGATCCGCCACAGTTTATACCTTTCAGACTCTTTTGATTCCGCAGAACCTTCACATTTTCGTGTTTTCAGCCATTTAGCCCCCCCCCCCTCCCCCACCCCCATCTTGTACATTCTTTACTTTACATTCATTTAAATCATAGGGATCATGCAGGTCCTTCCAATCCTTATGATATGTAAAATGTTACTGCCCACAAACGAATTCCCCCTACGGAAAATATTCTTCTTTGAAATTGAGTGGTAACGGAAGGCAGTAAAAATTCCACAGAATGTGCAACGTCGCAAGTTAACCAAAATATGTGACGATTGTTAATTTTCACACCAAGTGGTTGAGTGGATATTTACGAAAATTAACCTCTCGATCACAGGGGCCATTTTGTGTGCTGGGTTATAAAAAAGCAATTGTAAAGCTTGATTCTTCACCAACGCAGTGCTCTTTAAATTTCAGGCAGCGGCAAGACGACGCAGGTCCCCCAATTTCTCTACGAAGCCGGCTACGCGTTAAAGAAAATGATCGGTATAACCGAACCGAGACGAGTGGCGGCGATTTCGATGTCGCAACGCGTCGCGCACGAAATGAATCTGACAACGGACGAGGTTTCCTATCTCATACGTTTCGAGGGGAACGTAACCGACAGGACCAAAATTAAGTTTATGACAGACGGCGTTCTCCTGAAGGAGATTCAAGGCGACTTTCTCCTCGCGAAGTATTCGGTGATCATACTCGACGAGGCGCACGAACGGTCGGTCTACACCGACATATTAATCGGGCTATTGTCGCGAATCGTGCCGCTTCGTCAAAAGCGCGGCGATCCGCTGAAGTTGATTATAATGTCGGCCACGCTTCGCCTGGAGGATTTCACGCAGAATCTGCGACTGTTTAAGGTTCCCCCGCCCGTGATTAAGGTGGAGACGCGCCAGTTTCCCGTTACGATTCACTTCAACAAGAGAACCTTCGACAACTACCTCAAGGAGGCGTACACCAAGATCGTGAAGATACACAATAAGTTGCCCGACGGTGGGGTGTTGGTTTTCGTGACGGGGCAGCGCGAGGTGAAGACGCTCGTGCGCAAGTTACGCAAGGCGTTTCCGCTGAAACAGTCCACGGGTATTGAAGATCATCTGAAGAAAACCTTGCGACAGGCGAAGAAGAAGAAAGGGGTTACGCCCATTGACTTGGATGATTACAGTGTGCCAGGTGATAACGAGGAGAGTGGCGACGAGAGCGATTACGACTCTGATATCGGTGACGGTGTCGTGCACACTAATAAACCCTTGTGGGTGCTGCCATTATTCTCCCAGTTGCCCTCTGGAAAGCAGGCCCAGGTCTTCCAGCCCCCACCTGAAGGCTGCCGACTGTGCATCGTGAGCACGAACGTAGCCGAAACCAGCTTGACGATTCCCAACATCAAGTACGTGGTAGACACGGGGAAGACCAAAGTAAAGCTCTACGACAAGGTGACAGGGGTCACCAGCTACATGGTGACCTGGACGAGCAAAGCGTCGGCGAGCCAGAGGTCGGGACGTGCGGGGCGTATCGGACCAGGGCACTGCTACCGCCTCTACTCCAGCGCGGTGTACAACGACGCATTTCAAGAGTTCGCGGTACCGGAAATTCAGCAAAAGCCAGTCGACGACCTGTACCTGCAGATGAAGTGCATGAACATTGACAAGGTCCAGAATTTCCCCTTCCCCACCGCTCCCGATTTGATGCAACTGAAGACGGCCCAAAGTCGCTTGGAAATACTCGGCGCGCTGAAGGAGTCCCGAGTCACGCAGCTCGGGAGGGCGATTGCGAGATTTCCGGTTCTTCCACGCTACGGAAAAATGCTCGCCTTGAGCCACCAGCAGAATCTGTTACCTTACACCATCTGCATTGTTGCCGCGCTCTCCGTGCAGGAGGTTCTCCTGGAGACGCCAATCGCGCAGTCGCCGATGGAAGCGAAAACGCTGAGGCAGAAGTGGGTGGCTACACGAAAGCAGTGGGCCGGCGTCGGTAATTCCCTACTGTTGGGCGACCCCATGGTGCTTCTACGTGCCGTCGGCGCCGCCGAGTACGCCAACGCTGACGGTAAGCTGGAAAGCTTCTGCACGGAAAACGGTCTTCGACACAAAGCCGTCATCGAAATCAGAAAGCTGCGCATTCAGCTGACGAACGAGATAAAACTAAACGTACCCGACGCCGATATCATAGTCGATCCGAAACTGCCACCGCCCACCGATCTCCAAGCCAAACTCCTACGTCAAATTATGCTCGCCGGCATGGCCGACCAGGTGGCGCGCAAGCTCGATCCCGACGAACTCGCCGAAGGCGAAGACAAGGCGAAGTTCAAGTACGCCTACCGCGCCAACAACATGGAGGACCCCGTCTTCCTCCACCAAGGCTCGGTACTCAAAAAAACCCTGCCCGAATTCTGCATATTCCAAGAGATCTACGAGACGAACAAGATGTACATGCGAGGAGTGACGGCGATCGAACCCGAGTGGTTGGCGATCTACGCTCCGGGCGCGTGTCACTTCAGCGAACCCCTACTCGAGCCCGAGCCGCGCTACGACCCCTCCGCCGGCAAACTGTACTGCACGGTCTCGGCGACCTTCGGTCCGCAGGCCTGGTCGCTGTCGAACGCCGAAATCGAATTCCCGAAGTCGATCGACGCGTACAGGTGGTTCGCGCGCTGTTTCCTCGAGGGTAAAGTCTGCCCCAAGCTGAAGAAGTACTGCGTTCACCTGCTCAACAGTCCGAGTATGATGATTAAAACGTGGGCGAAGTTGCAATCGCGTACCGAGGTTTTGCTCAAGGCCTTCGTGCAGAAAGAAATTTTGACGAGGCGCAGATTGGAGGAGGTCTTTCGGAGCGAACCTAAATGTAAGTGGTATGGTCACAAGCGAAGATGGCGCTACTATATTTACCGTTTTCAGACTTATTACAAGAATATTTACGATGGCTTCCGGAGTCGGCACATTCGGAGGTGACGGTAAGCTGGCCACCTGTAGGATAGATTAAGGTTGTTATTTTTTAAATAAATTTTAAAGGCGTTCGTTTTTTTCCTTTGACTGCACTCCCCAAGTGCACAGTGCCCCTTTTTCGTATTGCTTACGTACTGTCAGGCAGCCGCGGGCTTGAGAGAAGCAACATGATACGGCTAACAATTGGAATTAAGTACTTCCTCCACGGTATAAACGGTTAAACGGCACATACAGGCAACATCACACTGGTAATGTATTTCCACGTGAATACATAAATAAATACATAATAAAACAACATAAAGGTATAACCACCTGTACAACATAAACAAATGGTATTTAGTAATGATACAAAAGCTTGGAGCACGCCACGCTTCAATAAACAAATAGTAGAATTTTATGCAAAAATGTAACTAATAACAAATTGAAACGGGAAACAAAGATTGATCGGGGAGAGAAGGTGGTGAGTTCGAGGAGAGGTCAGGGAGAGTCCGGGGAAGGTTCGGGAAACGTTCGAGGGGAGTTCGAAACGAGTACGGGATGAACTTGGTGGTGAGAGTTTAGGGAGAGTTCAGGGAAAACTCGAGGAGAGTACCGGAAATGTTAGGCGAGTGTTTGTGGAGAGTTCGGGGAATGTTGAGGGAGTTCGGGTAGTATTCAGGGAAGATTCGGGGTGAGGTGCAGAAGCGTTCGGGGAGGGTTTTGGAAGAGCGCGAAAATTTCAGGGACAGTTCGAAGAGAGTTCCGTGCAGAACCGGGGAAAGTTTAGTGAGAGTTCGGGAAGAGTACTTTCCCCAACGTTTTCCAACATTCCCCATTGTTCCCTAAATTTTTCCAAACCTTCCCCAATTTTTCTCATCTATGCAGAATCGCGCAATCAGCTTGCCACATTGATCAAATAGGGGTTGCGTTGACATTTTTACTTTTAATGAGTACCATAAAATATTGTTCTTACACAAATTATTAAATTAAATTAATTACAATTAAATTGAAGCAAATCGCTAGACCAGTTTCCCCCACACGCCACCCACGTTTTTGTGTTTTTCTCTATAAAACCCCCTCCGGAGAGCAAACGTTAAAAGCTACGGGGATAGGCGCATCTACCAGGGTAGGCTGCAATGTTTTATCACCCCAGGCCCCGGGGGAGGGCTGTCGTAAAAGGTGAAAAAACGCGAAAAAAACACTTTTCGGACCTGGACGAGAAGCTATTGGATCTACAAGGTCGGTACTTTCGGAATCCGTAGCCGTTGGGGATAGGCACTCTTCGATCGAGCTCCCTTTCCCCCGTGATAGGCCGTTTTTAGGTCTTTGAAAATTCGTAGCGGACGAAGGAGGGCAGATACAGAAAAAATGTAACGTCGCGCGCGATTATCCTGGGGCCTTTCGGTTGCTGGAAAACGTTATCTCGACTACACGTAGGGAGACGTTATCTGTATTTGAAAAAAAATCCGTTTGGGGTGAAGCGATGCGTCATGCGTTTCGGGGAGTTCGGGAAGGCGAATTGGACGCGGGACGTCGCGGTGCTTTCAACGAGTCGTGTGACGACCTCGCACCCCCGTTTCCCCCTCCCGCCGCGTAGAGGCAAAGTTAAGCGGGTCTTAGCGGTCGAACGGGGAAATCGGAGACGTAACGAGTTGTCGTTTTGCGCGTTAACCTCGAAGTTGGAGGGCCCTTCCAAGGTGCCGGGCGGGTGGGAACTCGATGGCGGACCGGAGGGGTCGAGGAGAAGCGGTGGCGTTTTTGAGGAACTTTCACGAATTGCTCGAAAACGAAGACGCCGCCACGGCGCAGGGTGGTACCGAGGATGGGGGCATCTAACCGAGTAGGATACAATTTTTTTATTGTCCCCTCGACCCCCCCCCCCCCCTATTGGAGGCAGGGGGCGCAAAGTACGCTAGCAAGACTGTTTTTAGGTATATACGCGACTTTGAAAATTCGTAGCGGTCGCAGGAGGGGATATACAGAAAAAATTAACGTTACGCGCGATTGGCCCGTTCGATGGGGGCGAACGAAAGAAGGGGTACCGGGGGCGTGCGACGCGAAGCGGTACACGGGGAAATTTTTCGAGAAGAAGTGCTCTTTTTGCTGATAAAACTGATTTTCCGCCCGGAAAAACAGGAAAGGGCCTTCGGACTTCGAACGTGCCGTGTGTCGAGCTGCCCTCGCCCTCCCCCGCGGTATGTTGAGTCGTATAGGGGGAACGGGGGGCGTATCGACTTGCGTTATTTTTGCGTTGACCTCGCAGTTCGAGGGCACTTCCGAACTGCAGGGTGGGAATTCGATGGCGGCCCGGCGGGGGTCGAGGAGGAGCAAGTGGCGTTTTTGAGGCGAATTGCACGATAACGTTATCTTAGAATTTAAATGAACTTTCTTCATCTCGAGTGCACGTAGGTATATTAAAAAAAAATGGTGATAGAAAAAGAAACAATTCGTTCGGGAAGGCGAAGGTGACGAATCGGAGGCGAGATGTCACGGTGCTTTCAACGAGCCGTGTGTGGCACCCCCCCCCCCCCATCGCTTTCCGCTGCGTAGAGGTCGAGTTAGCATGCCGTAAGTGGAAAACGGATGGCCGTACCGAATTGATGTTTTGTGCGTTGGCCTCGCAGTTCGATTGCGTTTCAAAGGCATCGGACCGTACCCCCTCGACCCCCCCACGTTGTTTATAGGTGGCAATTTTGGCGTTTATTCGGAAACGACGGTGGTTAGAATCATGACGTTTTTAAATTGGATTCCTATATCGCTCAGTCGCGTTCTAGAATTGATGGCGATCTATGTAAATCCGCGAGGCGCGGCGGCGCAGCCGCCCAAGTTCGAAATGTGTCAAGTTTGAGTATTTTAATGTGCGAGTCGAAGCCTAACAATGTGTCAACGGCCCTATACAAGCGTAACACATTCCGGTCACACGTCCCCCCACCCCTCCTATTCCCTAATTGCCTTTAGAAGGCACGTTTGTCATACTTTGGTGTTTATTCGGCAACGACGAGGGCTAGACCGATGCGATTCTTTATATTGGTCTTCAGCCACGTTTTAGAATCGAATGCCCAGAAACGCATGCGCAAAAAATCGAACTGCGCAGGCGCAAAAACTCGTACTGCGCATGCTCAAAACGCAACTTTCTTATTTATAGGGCTATTTGAACGACATTTGTATGGTAAGCCCTTCTAACAAAAGCAATCAACATGCATGCACAACAAATCACACTGCGCATGCGCTACGCGCAATTTTCTTATTTGTGGAGCAGTAGACAACTTCGTTATTATCTTTTTTCGATTAGGAACAATTAAAATATCGCAATTCTTTCGAAGCGGTTTTTCCAGCGGCGTCCCACATTTCTCATTGTCCAGCGACCAACCACACCCCGGTAAGCTAAGTAGAATTCAGCCGACAAGACTCCTGCAGACCGACTTTACCAGGAACCCCGCCGCAGAGGAAGGAACATCATCAGTTACGCCAGTGCGAAACAAAGTTTTCTCAGATCCAAGTTTACCTCCGTCACTTGGGACGCCCAGTGAGGGCACTGGGGATGTTACCACCACTGCCCCCCCCCTCCCGCTTCCATTCCCATCTCAACACGGTGGAGAGACGTAACCAAGAGATCAAGAAGGAGCCACACATCCACCTAAAAGAGGACCAGAAGACCTGGGTGTTACCCATGATACTGTTCACTCTCCGTACAAGTCATCCACACGCACCCATAATACGTTTCCATTAGTTCCACAGGCACCTGCTAGGTTACATCCCTCATAGCTGCTTCCTCTATAAGTTGCTGTTAGGTGACCATGATCCTTTACCAACCCCTTTTCTTTTTCTGCTCCGAATGTTGCAATCTTTTTCACTAGTTCTTCTTTTTATCTTTACCTTTTGCCTCTCTTATTCTCGTCAGCTTTTCTGTCTTTTACCGGTTTTCTTAGTTCCCTTTTTACAACTCTACTTACTTAGCTCTCGGGTTTCTGACCTGGCACCAAATTACGATTAAATAAGACACTGATTGAAATAAATAAATATTATTTGTCAATTGATCCACTACATCTGCATAAATTTCACATGGCTAATCTAACATATATTTAGATTTAAGGTATTTCTCTTATAGTAACAATTAGAAACGTTACACCAAACACCGTATAAACATAAACGCCTTAGCAACATACCATCAGAATCTCCACAGAATAAGATGACCTAAAGCTACTTTGACTAGGGTACAGTGAGATAATTCTTCGACCATTTTTTTGTTAAAACATGTAAAACAACGATAGAATCTCTTAATATTAGCGAAGCTACTCTTTCACATTTATCAAAAATTGCTGCAGCCTATAATGTAATATACCTAAACTCTAGGAATGAAAACAAGAATTACTTTAATATTATGCACTTTTAACGATACGTTTTCCATCAGGCACTACAGTATAAAAAAACGTTTAATGTACAATCATACAGGGGAGGTGTGTATACTATTTGATAAACCATCTCTCACTAATCTTAGGGGGAACGGGGTACGCATCATTTCAAAACCATGAATTTTTAATTTTCTTCGGTGATAAAAGTACAATCCTTGTGCTGCTGCAACGAACATAAAAAAATTCATGTGTCTTATAAACATCAAATTAACAACGTTCCGAAAATAATTTTCTTCAGCTTCATCACATTTAACGCCTCCTAAAAAAAGTCCTATACAAGATCTAACTGTTAAAGCGTTCTTTGGTTATATTTTTGAACAATCATTTTTTTACTTATTACGTATAGTATTTGCGCATAGTGAATTTTATCGACCGACCTCTCTAATCAACCATCTACGTGTGTGTATATATCAGTGCTCAAAAACTAAAAAAAGAACTCTTTAATTGTTTGAGTAGGTACAAAATTCACTATGAGCAGATGATAGATTTCTTGATAATACTTACTCGCTAAATGTTAAAATCGCTTATCTACTATTCACAGTTATAACAATTAAGGTATCACAAAAAATACTTTTTTGGTTTTAGTGCTATTATTTGACATTAACACACGGTCGGGGGGTGGGGTTCGAAAAAGTTCGAAAAACATCCAATACTGCTAAACAATGTTGTCAACTGAAATCTCATGTAAATGTCGTCTTTAGTTAGCTGTAAAATATACAAAATTATTGTCTTCGCTTAATCTTACTTTTACTTTCTTTTTTTTTAAATAAAGCAAAATGAAGTGTTGCATGAGATATCAGAGCGGAAACGTGTGCGAAAATAACCCCAAAATGCCCACCGTTGACGTTTTACTCGGGTTTTAGTCGATGCCACTGCACGATCGTCTGGCGCGGTTTCGTTATCATGTCCTGCCAATGTTTCGTTTCGGTCGCACCGGAACCATTTTTGCCTGAAACATACGAATTTCATCAGAGTCGGATAACGACACATTTCCCGGAAAGGTTACGTCACATCCGCGTTCGCTGATTCTTCATGACTCCTTAATGTCTGTCGGAATTTCTAAAATATCCGCTTTTTTTTAGAGGTAATAGTAGATGACCAATGTATGTTCTGGACGTAAAGCGATCCAACAGCTCTTTCAACTGGTCCAACAGGTTTGTGAAGCGGTCCAAGAACTTTTTCTACTGGTCCAACATCCGATTCAACAGCTATGTGAACTAGTACCGGTTCTAAAATATGTTGGACCGCTTCACGAACCTGTTGGACCAGTTGAATCGCTTTACTTTCTCAAAGAAAGGGACGTAGGTGAGCGTGCTTTTCTCTGATTGATTCGTTTCTGATCGGTGTGACGTCACTTCATGGTCCAGAACATACATTGGTCAGCACTCTATTCGAGTTTCTGTGATCCTGATACGTCGTTTTGGAAAAGAAGCCTGTATTAGAAAAGATCATCTTCTTAGTTTTCACCGACGCAAATTGGTGCATGGCGTGTTTTATACCTCCTCGTGAGTCTGTGATTCTGATACGTTCTTTAAAAGAGAAATTGGGGTCGGGAAATGTTAATACGTAAAGATATTTAAGTAAATAGAATTTTCCCCTCTCGCTTTTCTGTGACTCGGATGCGTTTTTAAAAGAGTTTTGCTGATACGTGTCAGGATTATACGAACGCAAAACAAAATGTATTTATGGCTCCTTTTTGGGTATTGTGTTCCTTTTGTGAAAGCGTATCAGGATCTTAGAACACCTTTTTACATATTCTGTGACCCTGTTACAAATTTCTCTCCTAAAAAACTTAGGGACTAGCACTTTCTTATGTTCTACTGCCAACACTTCTGCTTTAAGGAACATATCAGAATCGCAAGCTCTCGGTGAGGTGAGAAGCCTACTTACTGTAACCTTTTTACGTACTATGTTCTCCTGATACCCATGTTTCAAATTGATCATCTGATACCTTCTTTAAGAAATAAGACGGATAATAGTACACAGAGTTTTTATGAGGCGAATTTAAATAACGTGTCAGGCTTATAGAAATGTAAGGAGATGCAAAATTAGTTTACCGCTACCGTTTTTCTCATTTTGTTCACTGTTTGAAAGCACATCAGGATCATAGAAGCGCGAGAAGGTAGAAAAACTTTAAACTGACGGTTTCTTACATGCACCGTACCCTCGATATGTATTTTAAAAGGGAATTATCTATCAGGCCAACAGAATACGTAAAAATACTGCAGCAAGTAACTTATCTCTCACTTCGTGCTTCTGATACTTTGATACAACGCTTTTTAAAGAAACAACTTTGTATCAGACAAACTTAACGATTGCATAAGCAGTACAGAAAGGCGAGAAGGTCCTATTTACTGCAATCTTTCTCACTTTTTGAAATCGAATCAGGGTTTCAGAAGCGCAAGGACAACCAGCTCGCGCTTCTGTGATCCTGACACGTGTTTTTTAAATTGCGAGAGCATAGCAAATAGAATTTTAATCATGCTCGAGTTCCTCTGACCCTGAGAATTTTGTGTCAGGCGAACTTAAACGTATCAGGATCACCGAAATGCAAAGAGGTACGAAACCCCATAGACACGTTCCTACGCACTGTTTGCAAGAAGATCCGCTGGTGTGGTCTACATCTTATAGAAACGCAGAGGTGCAAAATTGATTTACCGCTGCGTATATTGTGTTCCCTTGTGTATCAGGATCATAGAAGTACGAGGAGACTTTTAAAGACCCATAAACGTTCTCGACAAGACCACTCTTGCCAATCTTATTAAACATTTTAGGAGACTTTTAAGGACTTTCAACAAACTATAAGCTCCCAAAGCCCCTAATCACTCCTGTAGGCTCTTGGGTACCCTTGAAAACCTTTGGAATCATCTTTCTAGGAATTTTAGTGACATAAGGACTTTCAAAGAATAAAAATCAATTAACAAGGTACTAAGAATTGCACACGATTTTCAGTAGGGGAATTTTTTGCCACTCGGATCGCATTCGGAAACCAGACTTTTAATCCGGCTCATATTCAATAGCACTAGTACTTAAGCTTGTAGACGATGGTTGGGCATCACTGTCTCTCCTCGTTCTCATGACGAGGAACAGAAGGATAGATGGACAGATGGACAAAATTATTACATAAGAGCAATTTTTAGAAAAAAAAGCCCCTAAAAAGCGATTTAAAATCTGTAGGAGGTTCCTGGGAGGAAATTAGAGGCCTTTGAAAATATTTGGAGGCTCTTAGAATTAAACACTCTAAGGACAGTTTCTTCCTATGCGACATAGATATTTGTTTCTATGGATATTAACTGTCACATAAATTTAACTGTAGCGCGAAAAATCGGTCTTAAGTTTAATGCCGCACACCTTTTAAAAGGTAGATTCTTAAGGAAAGCGAATCATTTTATGTACTGTGGACATGGAGATAACAAGTTTATCTCAGGTTTTTCTCCGGTCGTAGATAAGTTTTCTTATTCAAAATTTTAGGAGACTGTCAACAAACTATAAGCTCCCAAAGCCGCTAAATGCTCCTGTAGGCTGTTGGAGGCCCTTGAAGTCCTTTGGAATCATCTTTCTAGAAACGTATTCAGGGTTTTCAAAGAATGAAAATTAACAAGCTACTAAGAATTGCAAACGATTTTCAGTAGGGGAATTTTTTTGCCACTGAGCTCGCACTCGGAAACCAGACTTTTAATCCGGCTCATATTCAATAGCACTGATCCTTGAACTCGTAGAAATCGATTGGCGAAGGTTGGACATCGCTGTCTCTGTTCGTTCTCGAGTTGGACGTCGAACAGACGGACAGGCGGACAGAACCATCACATAAGAGGAATTCAAATTCAAAATCTGTGAGAGGTCCCTGGAATTAAATTAGAGGAATCTGTTAAAAACCATTAAAAACTCTAAGGAGCGCTTAAAAAGGAAATTCACCGTCACAAATTTAACTGTAACACGAAAAATGTCTGACACCTCTTAAGGAAAGTGAATTATTTTATGAACTGTGGACATGGAGGAGACAACAAGTTTATCTCATGTCTATCTCCGGTCGTAGATAAGAAGTTTTCTTATCGCTGCGTGCGCTAATTAAGTTTCAAGATAAGGACGAGTTATTTTCGTATATGAACGCATGTGCATTATTTTGCAAAGAAAGGAGGAACTAAGCAATTCATTTGTGCCCATATTCAAACTTTAATGCATTAATAATGAATGCTAAATTGCAACACCTTAAATTACTAATATTGTACCAAGAAAGCGCACGGAATTACCGTGTCAAGATTGTGTCTACTATTGAATAAGATAAGAACGAAATTCTCAATGTAGGGTGCTGCCCTCGCACAATAACGGCGGGAAATTTCAAATCTCACCTGCCAATAAAATTCGTCCGATCAGTTCGTTACGTCCGATATTATCGAAATCCATGACCATAACGTCGAGCGAGCACTCCCTAATTTTCTCCCACGGAACGTTAAACGAGAAGGTATCGTTAAAGACGGGATTTAACGTGCACTTAAAGACCGCCGTCTTGCGCTTCTCGATTCGCTTGTCGCCGAACTGCAGCCATACTTTCACGTAGGGATCTGCAAAAGCGGCGAGGTGAGTTGGGCGAGGGGGGACGGTTACGGGCTCCCGTTACCTGATTTGCCGTTAATGTCCTTCGCCTTGAGATTTCTAGCTTTGAGCAGGGTGAGGGTGAGGATGCTATTGCTTGGGTGATAGCAGAGCGAGGTGAGCAGCTCGCCGCACTTGTCCTTCGCCGGCGGCTTGAGCGCCTTCCAGAACGACGGCTTCTCGCTGAGGTCCACCTGGCACAGCGGCAGGAAGAGTTCGCCGATCGAGTCGTCGCGAGAAAATCGGTCGTAGTCGAAGACGTGCAGGTGAAGTACGCGCGATTGCAGCTTCTGTATCGGAAATCCTTCGAAGTAGAACGTCTCGTTCCAGCGCGGATTTAGTGTGCGTCGCTTTATTTTCGTTTCCAGTCGGTGCTTCTTATCCGGAAGTAACGTCACCCTCACATAGGGGTCGCTGGTGCCGGATAAGTCCTTTGCGGGTAGATCTTTCCCCTGAAACACCGATATGGTTTCTCTTAATTTGAATTAAACCAATTAGCCCATAGCTTATGCTAATTATAGGTAATTACGATATAATTATACCTAAATTATGTGGAATTACGCTTTAATTAATTGAAATTTCGTTCACTAGGCTAGATCCAACCCCTCGTTGGAAAGGTCTCGACCAGCGCTATCGATTGGCTCGGTCAGAATTTCGACAAAAAATTCAAAGGGCTGTAACTTTTGATCTAGTAGCCCGATCTTGGAACTGTTTGAAATTATGGATTCTACAGGCCACATTCTATAAGAAAATATTTCCCGGTCGATCTGAGACAACTTTTTTTCAGGCCAAAAAAAAGGCAGTGTTATACCTACCTTCCTTTTTTTTACCAAAAATCGACTGCAATTTTGACAGCACCAATCGATAGCGCCGGTCAAGACCTTTCCAACGAGGGTCGGAAGGCAACGAGGGGTCGGAAGGCATACCTACGACGCACCGTTCTCGAGATATTACGGTTTAAAATTTCGACCAAAAATTCTGACAAACCGTAATATCTCGAGAACGGTGCGTCGTAGATATGCCTTCCAACCCCTCGTTGGAAAGGTCTCGACCAGCGCTATCGATTGGCGCTGTCAGAATTTTTGTCGAAACCAATTTCGACAAAAAATTCAAAGGGCTGTAACTTTTGATCTAGTAGCCCTTATCTTGGAACTTTGGAACGGTGCGTCGTAGATATGCCTTCCGAAATAATGAATATAAGAGCAGGTAAAATAGGCGAATCGATCCGCTTTCAGCGAGATTAAGTCAACCTACATCAGGACGTTTTTTCCCGAGGGGATTAAAAAACTTCTCGTTACTCTTATTTCGTTATGGTGATACATTACAGTTACGCTTTTAAGGGAGCTCCCGGGAAAGTTTGCGAAGTGCAATAAAGGCACACTCTCTTCCGCATTCGTAATAAATATCGGTGACAAGTCGGTGAGAAATGTGGCGAACCTGTTTAAGGGAAATCGCTCGAGATAAATCCACGCTGGAAACAGTTGGGCAATATATTACGGAAGCTCTAACGCACGTTATCTATATTTGACCTTTTCGCATGGAACTTGATCCGAGCAATCGATAGACTGAGGATTTCATCTTTTAACAAATAACGTACGACAAATTTCGTCTTGTTTCGGGAACATAATTAGCAATAATTAGCAAAGCATCTAGCAATAGGGTTGAATCAGTGTCGACCTAACTGGACAAATAATTCTCTGACCAATAATTATTCAGCTCACCCAATTAATTAGAGAAAATTATTTGAATTAGCAAGCGCTTAATTAATTAAGATATACAATAATCATTATTTTAAATTCAAAACACTCATCTTATCCAAGCAAAAAAAAATATTGCGGAGATTAACATTAATTGACTTTAATTGTAATTAGGTAAATAATCGGAATACACTAATTAGGATTTAAAGATATTTCAGCAATCGTATTTTCAAAAAGATTAATGGACAAATAATTCTCTGACCAATAATTATTAAGCTCACACAATTAATTGGAGAAAATTAATTGAATTCGCAAACGTTTAATTAATTAAGGTATACAATAATCATTATTTTAAATTCAAAACACTCATCTTATCCAAGCAAAAAAAATATTGCGGAGATTAACGTTAATTGACATTAATTGAAATTAGGTAAATAATCCTAACACACTAATTAGGATTTAATGATACTTCAGCAATCATATTTTCAAAAAGATTAATTATCAGGAAATTAATAGCAATTGACTGTATTTTTACGGTAAGAAAGTATAAATGTTGTTTAATTTTTCCCTAATTAATTAAGTCAGAGGTCAAAAAATTTGTCTAGTTGACGCACTACCAAAAGTGAGCCCTGGGAACAAAAGTGCCAAATGCACTACGTGCTCCCCCGTGTCGTGTGGAGCATGCTCCTGGTGCAAAGTGTAACAAGGAAATAATTGCATTTATAAAGTGATATCCTGATATCCTCAACATTTTACTGAAGTTTAAAAAAACTTTTAGTAGGTATTAGGATAGTAGAAGACAAACTCGTTTCACGAATTACTTTAGACTTTTCCTGGAACGTATTTGAAACAGGACTGATAAAGTAATTGAATCGCACTATTGCAAAAGTGCACCAGGTGAACAGGAGTGCAGCAGAAAGGGGCCACTGCATTCTGTACCCTCCTTGTACAGGGAAACAGCAATTGTGGTGTGATAACTCGATTTAAACAAACCTGTTTGGATTGGCGATGATGACATATATTCACTGATTAAACATAGCCGTTTGCAACCGTTCCCGTCAAGATATTTCTATTATCTTTGTAGTGTCCGAACGCTTTTGTCATTTCGAAGGCGAGGGCAAATTTATATTTTAGAATTTCAGTTCCCTTAAGTAATTTTTAGATTCCGTTAATTATATTATTTAATTTTCATGCCATTTGTGCGCGGACCTATTATTCGTCGTATAGTTAGGTGTTAATCAGGAATTGCATGCTGTTTGCTTAATCACTAATTTGTTAAAAATTGCGAATTACCAGAAGTATAGTCGCAACTGCACTTACACCCTAATTGGATCTTAATTTGAGTAGAAAAGGTGTGATAATCAGCAGGTGTTATTCGTTTTCAGTTACTTCTGGTTGTGGTTTCGATCGAACCTTGAACCTTGACTTAAATTGGAAAATACGGTTTTTATCAAATAATTCTTAATTAAACCCTAATTACCAATTAGGCATTATTTTCTATAGAAAACAATCTCCCTTAGCTGGCAGATGACCTTCATTCACCGAAGTAATCCCATTACCAACTAAATCAGCCACTGTTGTTCCCATTAGCTGCCAGAGAGTAGCAAATTAGCTTTTAATTAAAACTTTTTACCAAATTACGCTCTAATGGCACCTAATTAATTGGAATTTATTTAAAATTTCCCTTTCATTGACAATAAGAACCGTATAGAAGCTGAGTTACGTTTAAAAATAATAAATCGTGCACTTTTCCTGATTTCGACAACGCGCTGGATACTAATTAGAACCTAATTGTGAACCTTAATCTAAGAGCGGGTAATAATTTGCGATTCTTACTTGCATTAACGGTTAACCAATAAGTAATTACATCAATTACGTACCTTTATGTCATTTGAAACAGCAAACTATAAGACAAATTTGCTTTAATTTGCAGTTTATGTTTTAACGTTTCAAGTAAAGTCGATACAAATTGAGCACTAATTGCCCCTAATTGAGAGTAATTTATAAGAAATTCGGTCACCGTTTCAGTGAATGTAGAGTTCTAATTGCTAATTTATTTGTAATTCGCAATTTCTTATTTGTCAACAAATAATAATAATTCGCGTAATTTTAGGTAATTTGAACTCCAAATTAGCTACAGGAGTAATTAGTTCTTAATTGTTACTAATTGCATGCAATTTATAAAAACCTTACGTTTCAACGTTGCAATACAAATTTGGTTCCAATTGCCCCTGATTTAACAGACGCGACATCTATAAAAGTTTAATTGTGCCTAATTTAGTGGAACTCTGTGCAATTTATTATTAGCAATAACGGTTTACCAACAATTAATAGCGTCAATTACGTAATTGTAATTGCAAATTATAAGATTAATTAACACACAACAATGTAATTTATTTGAAATTTCCTTCAATTAGTTAATAGTATAGGAGCTACGTACCTACTTAATTACATACTTGAAGAAATTAGTGCCTAATTAACATTTACCTACCGTTTTAATTAAATCAAATTAAATTGAATTATTAAAGAAAATTGTAATTACGCGATTATTTCGATATTTAAGCGTTCCTTGGGAAAGGTAAGAGCGTAAACTCTAATTAAATTATACTAATTAGGTATTACTCACCTGTATAAGTCTAAGGATAAGAGTTGTATTTTGAAAGTCGTACTCAAGAGAGAAGTGTATCTGTCCGACATTTTCAGATGGCTCCGAATTGTCGATGTACATGTCGACAAGGGATATCGAGCGATTCTGTAAGAACGCCATCTGTAACGAGGAACGTTAATTACTACCATACTAATTGTATGCAAATTGCCCTACGGATTGTGGGTTCATTTACGTCTTATCAGACTAATTAGTGAAGCTATTAAAGTTTCCTAATTACTTAATCGGGACATTATTACCACCTTGTCTGAGAATCGAGCCCGCTTAATTACAACAATATTGGTAAGTACAGCGTCCAGTTTATGAAACGGCAACGTCGCGCGAAAATTAATCCCCTAACGATTTTTTTTCGCGATATGGAATATAATGCGAGGGGCGGCTTTCGTCCGCTAAAAAGTGATTACGGCACGGTTTTGCACACTCGTAAGCGCGAATGCCGTGCACGGCCAGATATAACGACCCATAAATTCTGTAATGGCGTCAGTATGGAAGTGAAATGCGTTTTACACTAATTGAGGTTTATGGGATTTTCGCTCGTGCCTGAGTTTCAGCGGCCGTTTGCGAAATTAAAGGGACCAGTATCCACGGAGATAATTCCGCGAGAACTGAATGCTGTCCAACCGCCATCATTTTTTTTTCGCGACTGCCTGAGGCTCAAAAAGCAAAAAAAAGAAACGTAAGGGATTTAACGGATTTTCGGTGGAACATGCTCTCCTTAATTAATTCTTTTGTTCCTATATGATTAGCCCTTCAAATATTTAGGTCTCAAACCTTTTGATCAACTCGTTGAGTTACTGAAGTTCTGAGCCTCTGAGTCCTTGAACCTTGGATCTTTCAGTCTTAGTCACCCTCTGAGTCCATGAGCTTCGGAGACGTTGAGTCATTTAGTGCATGGGTTTCTGCGTGTCGGGCTCTTGAGGTCTGGCGCTCTAGCGCTCCGGATTCTTAAGGCCTTCGGACCTCCGGACCTTAGAATTTTTGACATCTTGTACTTGAATAGTTGCATCTATGAGCTTTGGGTCTCCCGCCCCTTAATTTTGGGATTTTCTTTCGGTTTTCAGACCTTTGATTCTTATAGCTTTTGAATCTATGGCTCCTTGAACTTTGACTAGTTTCATCCAGCCGCTAAGCGTCTGAGTCTGAGTTCTAACACACTAAGTCTTTGAGCCTTCCAATATTTAGACCTTTGGAGTCTTGGATCGCTGAACCTTTGAGGCTCTGAGACTTTTTAGACCTTGAGACATTGATTCATGGATAACTTGAGATCTGTAAATCTTCAGGTTTGAGACCTTAGTACCATGAGACCTGATTTTGATTATCGATAACTTGTTACCTTCTGTATAAACTTTCGGATTTTTGAACTTTGACTTTTTTGAATCTCATTTCTTTGAGTCCCTGAACCTTTGAGGCGCAAATGAGTCATTGAGTGATTGAACCAATGATTTTTTATCCTTAGTCTATAGCATCTGAGTTTCTAAGTCCTAACACTTTGAGCCTTTGAATATTTGGGTCCTGTATGGGCCCCCGAGTTTCGGAAACTAGGCGCCTTTGGGTCATTGATACTGGCGCCCTTGAACCGTATGTAAAGGTTACCAGTGAAACATATATTTCACACCAATTTCGAAAACTTGAGCCTATGAACCCTCCAGTATTCGAATTTGAGCCTTAGACCTTTTAACTTCTCAATCTCCAAGCCTTTGAACTGTTGAGTGTTCGCGTTTTTTTGATTCGGCGCCTATGAGCCTTTGTACCCATTGAGCCATTTCTCCCTTGAACCGTAAAGGTTACCCGTGTACCACCAGTTTCGAGTACTTGAGCCTTTGAACGCTTCAGTCTGAGTTTTACACCTTTTATCTTCTGTGTTGAGTCTCTGAGTTCGTGCATTTCTAAATTTTTAAGTCTTCTCGAGCATCAGGGTTTATAGTGCTTTACGTTTTTGAGTTTTTAAGTCATTGAGTTTTTCTGTTTTTGAGCCTTAGGGATGTTCGAGTTCTCAAATCTTAGGATCTTTGAGTCTCCCAAGGTCTTGGTTTTTGGCCTTTGGGCCTTTGGAGCTTCAAGCCTTTAAGAAATTGAGTTTGGAGCATGTCTTTGACTCCATAAGCTTCTAAATCTCTGCGCATCTGAGTTTTTGAGCCCTCGAACCCTTGAGCTTTTGAATCTTTGCGCCTCATTCAACGGTTGCCATCCTTTACCACTGAAACACATGTTTTAGACCAACCATAGTACTTGAATCTTTGAGCTAGACCCTTAGAATTTTTTTAGCTTCTCAGGTTTTGAGTTTTTGAACCTTTGAGTGGTCGGGTTTTCGATTCTGGGTCTTCATTTTTTGGGTTCTGTGATCGTGAAGGCTTCTAGTGTATGAGTTTTTGACTCTGTGGCATTTTGGCCCTTAAATGTTTGCGTCTTGGGGTTCTTGAGCATCAATCCTTATAGTTCTTTAGGTTTTTGAGCCTTAAAGTCTTGACCTTTCGTATTTATGAATTCTCGAGTCCTCGACCGTTGAGTCTTCTGATCCGAAATCCTGTTCTTTTCCCTTTGAGTCGTTGCGCCTTAAAGCCCTTGAGGGTTTGAGTTTTGAGCATATACATTTTTGATATTGCGTCTTTTTGGCTTTGTCCTTTGAATGTTTGCGTTTTAGAATCTTCGAGGTTTTTGAGTCATCTGGCCCTTGAGACTTTGAGTCTTTAAGCCTTTAACAGTTTCGGCATCTGATTCTTTGAGTTTTTGACTTGGGCGCTACTGCATCTCCAGCTCGTATTGAGTCTTGGAGTATTTGGGACTTGGGCCCTTGTGTCTTTGAGTCTTTGCTTTCGAGCGTTCATATATCAGAGTCTTTAACTCAGTTTTCGAGATTTGGCGTCTCTGAACTTCCGAATTTTTGAGTCTTAGTGCTTTCAGTTTTTGAGCTTTCGAGTATTGGAGTTTTTAAGCTCTTAACGCTTCGAGTCTTCGAATAATTAACCCTTTGATTCATTGAGACTCCGGCGTCATTCTGAGTATTTTGGTCTTAAAAGCTTTAAAGCATTTGGCTCGTCAAGTGCATGGGTCTTTTGTGTCTCTGTAATAGGAGAGCCTTTGCACGTTTGACTCAGTGCCGGTGAGTCTTGAGTCGTTAATTTTTTGAATTTCCGAGATTCTGAGTCTTTGAGTCTTCTTGGCGTTTTTTGACTTTTCGAGTATTTGGGTGTCTGAACCTTCCAGTTTTTGAGTTTTCGAGTAATGGAATGTTTGGATACTCAAGGCTTCGAGTCTTCAAATACTTAATCCTTTGTTTCTTTAAATTTTGCGCTTCCGGCCTTAAAATCCTCGGACCTTAGAAAATCTTCCAGTGGTCAAGTGAGTATTTTGTTTTTAGAGCCTTTGTTCTTTGCATCTTTAAGGGTGAGCATTTGCGCGTTTGGGTCATCTTTAACCTTGAGATTTGCATTTTGGGTTTTTTTGAACCGTTGCTAGTTGCGCATCCGAAACTTTGGGATCCGAGCTTCTTAAAATCCTGAATGTTTCACGCCTTGTATTTGCGTTTTTGATTCTTTAAGTCCCTGGGTCTTTACGCTTCTGAGTTCTCGATTTTCAGCTTTTGAGTCTTCGAGTTTTTGAGATCTTGTGTCTTCTGACTCTGAGTCTTGTGCTGTTGAGATCATGTACACTTTGTACACCTTGCACACTTCAGCGTTTGAGTCATTGCGCCATAGATCCTTGTAATTTTTAAGTCTGATTTTTTGACCTTTAGGTCGTCCATTTACTTAGCCATTTAGCACCTGAGTGTACTCTGAATCTTTGACCCCCTAGAACCATCGAGCCTTTGAGTTTTAGACCCTTCGAGTCTTTAGGTCTTAGAGAGTTTGATCCCTGGATACTTTGGCCTTTAGACTTTCTAATTTTGCAGTGAACTTAAGTGTCTCTGAGTCATGACCTTTCGAGTCTTAGACACTTTCAGATTTCGAGCCTTTGCGCCCTCGCACTTTCGGTCCTTCGAATATTTGAGCCTATGACTCTTTGACCGTTGAGTCGTTGAGTCACTGAGCCTCAGAGCATCTGGATTTTTATATCCTAACACTTTGAGACTTTGAGTACTTGGGTGTTTAGGTTCTATAGTCTTTGGGTCTTGAGCGCCTTGACGTTTAAACACTTTGTATATAAAAAAATTGTTTTTTGTTCACTCTGTATATATCGAACAGCATTGCTAGGTGATGTCTCAAAAACAGAGAAGTTGCTTTTTGAATTTTATTAATTTTGAAATGGCTCCTACATTTTGCTCTGTTTGTTTTACCACCAACCAAGAAATTAAGTTCCAAAGTACACTGTATTTTTTAACCTATTGATCAAGTAGACAATGCCTTTTTTGTTCACCCTGTATATAAACACTCGAGTCCTAGATTCGTTGAGTTTTAGAGTGATGGTCACTTGAGTTCCCTAGACTCACTCAGTGAGTCATTGAGTCTTTGCTGAGTTTTTGAGTCTTAAGTTACTGAACCTCCGTGTCTCCGTGTGATGGAGTCTTCGAGTAGTTCACTCTTCGAGCCTTCTGACTTTACATTAAAGTTTTTGAGCCTTCGGCCTTTAATCTTTTAAACATTTTCGAGTATGGATTTATCCCCTTGCAAATTTGGGTCGAGTTAGATTCTTGAGTAATTGAGTCTTTGCATTTTTGAGGATTTATATCTCTGGGTATTGTGCCCTTGCCATTTGAAATGTGCTTTTCAGCATTCGAGATGTTGTTTTAAAGAGATTTTCCTTCAACATTTCAAATTCGTTAAACTCAAACATGAAAAGCATTTGTTTCCGGAAGCAGGAAACGCAGATACCTACCAAGAAAGTTCGACTAACTAAATTAATTAAAACTCGCTTCTGAGATATTTAATTAGCGCGACGGCAGACGGGAGACACTTACCGAGGGATGGTCGCCTCCCTTGACATTTTGTAGTGCTTTGTTGGAGGTTGCAGTAGGTGTGCGTGCCTCTGGCGGTATCAACGCTCCCGCGCTGCTTCCGGGCGATTTCGCCTGGGGACTTCCGGTAGTCCTGTAAATAAAAAGAAAATTTAATTAAACGGTGTACAGCCCTCACGTACAGATTTAATACGTACGATCGTCTTAATTAGATT